TTAGATAGTTGAATCAATAACCTACTAACCAAAAAAACTAATTTTATTTTTTATTGCTTTTAAATTTTGTATTTTATTTTTATCATTAATAAAAATAATTATTTTTTATGATACCAATTTTTGTTTTGATATAATATATATGATAATAGAGATGTCCCCATTTTTACTATATTTTTTGTATTTTTTATTATATCTCTTTTAAAAATATTATTTAATTATGACATCATGAATTAACTCCTTTAGCTTGTTGTACCATTGGCAAGCCACCTAAACAGAAAATTGGTTCCCTTTCCTTGTTAGTTTTAAATGTTGTATTCTATTTCTCCCATTAATAAATATGTTTTTTACTTATCATACTAACTTTTGTTTAATATGTTGAATATATAATATTAGAGATGTGCCCAAATTTTTATGTGTTTTCTTATATTTTTTTTGTATTTTTAGTTTTATTTTTATCTAATTATGACATCATCTACTAAGCCATTGGACTCAGATGGTTGAATTGTTAGCCTACTATCTAGATGAAAAAACAATTTCATTTGTGAATTGGTTTTAAATACATAGGTTTATATTGGTAAAATTATTTTTTGTAGATTTAATTAAATATTTTTTATTAGAAATAGGTGGAATTCAATAGTAAGAAACAAAAAAAAAAGAAAAAGAAATAGAGTGAACTAAAAAGTGGCACTCTAAATCACATTTTCTACTACAGAGGGGCCAAATTCCAAAATAAGGGTATTTTGGTAAAGAAAAAACCAAGACAACTCAAAGTCCACTCCTACTTTTGTTGTAGTATAGATAAAGATAGGTAGATATTGCATATAAAAATCTGTACATTTTTCATATTTTCGTGTTCCTATCTCTTAAATATTTATAATTTAATTAAAACATCATGTGTTAATCCATTTGACCTATAAGGTTTGACCATTGACCCACCACCTAGATTGGAAAATGTTTCATTTTCATATTGATTTTAATTTTTGGATTTCATTACATCAATAAAAGTTTTTCTTTCTTATCATACTTATCTTTGTTTAATATGATTAATGTATAATATTCGAGTTGTGTCTAATTTTTTCATTATTTTATATTTTTTATAGTTCATGTATTTTTCTACTTTTAATTTACTGTTTAACTATGACATCATGGTTGATCCATTGACCCACCACTTAAACAAAGAAAATGGTTTTTTTTATTGGTTTATTTTAAATTTTTAGTATTTAATTATGACTTCCCGGATTCACCAGTTTAATGCAAATGGTTTAGTTGCTCACCTACCACCTTGAAAAACCATTTTTATTTTTGGGTCAATTTCAAAAGTATAAGTATTATACTATAAGAATTAGTGTTCATGAACATGATTAATAGAATTTAATGATGAGAAAAAAAAATACCTTAATTATATGATTCAATGAGAGAGAACAGGAGATAATGCCTTAAATATAGGACTTTTTTATAGGCAAAGAAACTGTATTATAAAAAGGAGAAAGATATAAAGTTCAATACATTTGGTAACTAAGTTGGATGATGATCAAATACCAAAAAAAAAAAGAATCAGAAGGATAAGTTTTTGCACTTTGAGCCAACTGATGAGCTAAAACATTAAAAGGTCTGTTAACAGAACAAAAGTTTAAAGAAGATAGCTGGTATATAAGGGTTTGGTATTGAGATAACAAAAAATGACAAGGCCAAGGAAAGCTAGAAAGATTATTCAGAGTTCACATCTCCATCCCATAAGGGGCTGCCCCACAGCACATCCCCGCCGTGTATTGAGAACATCTCCCAATAATAGTAACAGAACCAATGATGTCATCATCAGGAGATGTTCCTAATACACAGCAGGGATGTGCTGTGGGGCATTGTGGAGCGGAGATGTGATCTCGATTATTCAAGGCATTTATCAACATCAATGAGTTCGAATGGATCAAAACTACGTCGTGGTTATGGCGAAGGATAAACTGGAGTCCTTAAAAGAGAGCCATGAGTTCAGCTTCTTTTGCAATCCCATTGCTTTGAAAATGACCACCAAAAGCACATAGACAAGAGAGTGATAGAAAAACAAATATCACCAAAAGAATTAAGGTTCGGAGATAAGGTTCCACCATCTGTGAATAAAATAAAGAGAGTATTAGGCGGAACAAAAATATGAAATAAATTATCTATGGTGGAATCAAACCCGTAGCTTTCACAATCAAGGAATGGGAGGTGAGTGAACAAAGAATTAATTTTACAAATATGCGATTGAAAAGTATTAACCAAATTACAATTTCTGTCCTTTCAATAAAGAGAGAAGAAACACAAAAAGAGGTATTTTAGTCAAGAAAAAAGTCTAAAAGCCTTGGGGAGTTATTCACACTTTTATTCAAGGTTTTAAAAATCGACCTAGAAAAGGAACTGCTTTGGCCTCGGATTTCTATGTCAGTTGTTCAACTGCCCAATTTGAGTATGTCAAAATGGTTAGATTTAAAATATAGTGTATTTTGCATCCTAACCAATAGATTAGAATATAGGTTAAGAAGAACATATAGTAAAGCTTTGAGAAGGGTACATGGCTAGTTAAAGCTAAGAACAAAAAAGGAAGCACTGATGGCAGTTGTTGCCATGTTCTTCCTCTCATGTTTCAGCACTTGTTTACCTTGAAGAAGAAGAAGAAGAAGAAGAAAGCACTGCTTGCTCTATTCTTAAATCTCTCTTGTCTCTCTAAATCTTAGATCCCAAATCATACTAGCATCATTTGCATATCTCTGATTGATCTCTCTCACCTCTCTCATCTGATCTCTTGAATTGATCTTTGGATCTCTTCATTTATAGATTCACAATTTCTTCCCTATTATTAGAAAAAATAAACAAAACTCAAAATCAAATTGGCAAAAACTAAAAACCCTAATTAATTAGTTTTAGCCATTGGGAATAATGGAACAAGATTATAGGATATGTAATTTTTTTTATTTCTTAATTTCTAATTTAAAATTTTGAATTGTGTTGAAGGCAACCCGAGAACTATTAACTGGAAACGGTTTAACAGTTAAACCATCCTAATTGACGATTAGGTCAATGGCAATTTTAAAACCATACATTTTATATTAATATAGATTTTTTACCAAAGATTTTTCATGATTATAATATTTTATTTGAAAAGTTGAGGAAATGATTAGCATGAATAACTCATGCAACACTTGTGGTAGAACTCAAATAAAATGTTCCTCCAACCCTCATAATTTCTCTAACCAGTGATGTCTCACCTACCTTAATTGGCCCATGTCTTTGTTTGAACCCCCTTCAATCCATCGATTAAGGTCCATCCATTAACTCAACATAAACGTTTGTTTTGTGAAACAAACAAAAAGATGACTCACTACACCAAAATGTCCCCTCCCTTTCAGCTCTTCTGGGCCCATGCTACCCTCCACAAGATAGCGCCCATGCTTTCCTTTTGTAAATCAAAAGGAGAAAAAGAGAAATAAGAAAGGACAAATAAATCTCTCTTTCTCTCTCTCTCAAAAGGTCACAGGCACACACAGATGCAACTTACAGAAATGATAGGCTTTTTTAATTATGGTTTGTAACTTGAAATATAAAATAAGAAAAAACCTTCAAACCCATTAAAAAATATAAGTAGTAACCAATTCATTAAAGTTTTTATTGGTCAAAGCCTTTCTCGATTATAATTGGGATAAGGCTTGAAAGAAACACAATATTATTTATCTTTTTTCATTAATGTGCATTGTATGGGATTAATGAGTTTTATTATAATATTTTCCCCCAGGCTTGCTATATTATCCAACTTTTTATGTTTAAAAAACTTTGATATTTTCGATTATACATTTTTTTATGAATATGCAGAAAGTTGCTACTTGCTAGTCACGTCTAATCTATCTTGCTCAGGCTAAGATACAAGACAGAAACAAATTTAGAGACTAATAATCCACAGTATTTCTGGCCCCGGTCAGCTCTCACTTATCAAAGAAAAAAAAGATAAATTGCTAAAATCTCCCCTAAAGTTTTTGACCATTGTTGAAACCTCTTCTAAAATTTGGTAATCCTAATACATCCTCTGAACTTTTTGGCACAGTTGTAAGTTGAACCTCTCCTTTAGAATCTTCTAACAAGAGTCACAAAAATGTCCAAAATACCCATGCAATTACTTTTGACCAAAATGTTTATTTTCTAAATTTTCTCTTCATATCAATCACTACCTCAAACCCTTCCAATCTCTTTTCCAAAATTGATACTTTTCAAGTTTGCCCTTCATGTCAATTGCTCAAAGGTAAAACTGCAACTTTAAACTCTATTTTTATTCATAAAATATGTATTGTTTTCTCGGTAGAAATCAGCCTGAATAATAACTGCATGGGTATTTTAGATATTTCTGTGCATCTTGTTAGAGGATTTTAACAAAGGAAGTCTACTTGCAACTGTGTCAGAAAGTTCAACAGAGGTAATTGCAATTGTCAAACTTTAGGGAAAGTTTCAGCAATGGTCAGAAACTCCAGGGGAGGTTTCAGCAATTTGCCTAAAAAAGTCAGCTCTTGTTTATGGGCCTTTTCAATCAGTGAATTGGATTGATTTTGGTACCAATAGTTTCCAAGAACAAAACCCGCTAAATGAATTGTTCTGCTTGCATTCATGTGTTGGACATTTTATGACTGAGCCGTGCAATCAGATAGGTTGTTGGGCCGGGCCAAGAACATTAAGTTTCTATAATGGCCCCCCTCTTATCATCATCTTCATCATCTCCTCTCTGGGAAAACGGTAGTGACTTCTTGGCCCTTGCCTTCTGCTCTTTTACAGGTGATTTCTGCACTTTCGCCACCAAACTACAGGACGGCAACCCAACACCGGTTTGTCAACCATTGGCATGGTCATTGAAGGTGCAAATCAATAGCAGTGAATTAGAACCAATTTAGTCAAAAAATTAAAAAAAAAAAAAAAAAAACTTCTGTATTTTTGCTAAAACATGTGGAATCTAGTCTTCCCAAATAAATTCAGGGCCTCAGGGATTCTAAGTGATTATATTAGAGCCCAAAGCCCACCAGAAATCCAGTCAAATTGAAATCATTTGGCCAAGTTCAGAAATTACATCAATAGTTATAGGATGTCATTTAAATGCTTTACACCATTAACTGACAATGCATTTATAATAATTAAGCTGGATGACTATCAAACATTCAATCACATCTCTTTCTTATGATCTCATCTTGCCTGCAGCTTATGCTTGAAACTGCATAGAAAGCTGAACTGTCATAATGTGGCGTTCTCAAATGGAGGCCTTCAATGTCAATGCTCTGTGTGACAAAACTATAGATGTTTATGGAATTCTCTCATGGAAGGATCTATGGGGTATCTCTTCTCAAGGAAGGTCCACCATTCATGTGCTCATGGGTACACATTTGACAAACAATTAATTAGAGGATTCAGACTGAAAGTGAATGAAAATTATAAATCAAGAAAAGAAAATATCTTGAATTACATGCATGATAGGCAAAAGAAAAGAAATTAAAAATTAGGTGCTAGAGGGACCAGCCATTTATTTAGCAGTTCACTTTCAATCTCTTACATTTTATTAAAACTACAAGAAAAATATAGATTTCATTTAGAAAAAGATATTTGGAATGCAGGAATTTCTTTTATGGGCTATTCCCAATTTCTTGTGCTAATCGAAAGTCACTTTCAAGATATCTTCAACAAAATTTAAGAAATTTATTTCACTCCCTCTTGTTGGGCATCTAAATGAAGCTTAAGGGTTACAACTAGAGGTGATCATTTCTAGCCTAGCCTGGCCCAGGCCGGCAACAGGCCTAGAAATTTGTGGGCCGGGCCTGTGCCTAACACTTCAGCCCTGACCTTGCCAAGGCCAGGAGTTTCCACTTCCAACCTAGATGTTTACATGTAGAAACATTATAGCCTTCTTTGGTTTGTGTAGTATGCTGGACCTTTAAAGTTTTAACAGTTAACTAGTGAGACTTACAATGACTGATTCTCTGTTTGTAGGGTGCAAAATGAGCTTGAACAATAGATTTCTCTTCATCAGTCCCTCATCACCATCTCCTCCTCCGGTAGTCTCGGTGCCGAAGATTGGTGCCTTTCTGAACGAACTTTGATGTTCGAGTGACCTTAATGTTTTGAACTGTTCTAACATGTCTGTCATGCTTAACTGTGTTTCTAGAACTCACGTAAGCTGAACCTCTGCTGATCCCAACTCTTATCCGGTGGCTCCTTGGCCGCAGTGACCTTTGCAACTGCAGTCTTCTGTGTTCCCTGGACCGATGAGATAGTGTCCTCCTAACTTCAATGCCCCTTGGTACATGATAGGATATGCTTTCATCTTCAAGTTCATAACCACTTGAATTATACTCCTCTTCAATGTCCCTAATATGCTCTTCATTCATCCGTTTAATCCTTCTAAGCTTAACCCACAAGAATGTGCATCCATACTCCCATGCTGAGAAGCAGGTGACACAGAATGCCCAAGTCATTTTGCAAAGGCTCCTTCCAACACAGCTACATATACCCATTTTGTATAGCAGATAGAGGAACAAAAGAACTGCACGTGGAGGGGGGGAGTCATCTGTTAATGTTTTGAAATTTGGAGAAATCTAAGGACCCCATTTAGTAGATTATACATCTTTATACCAGCATTAGTGCACCAATACCATAAAGAAAAGGGATGGGAGTAGGGTTGCAACATGGTTGGGCCAACTCAAAGCCAACCCATAACTGAACCCAAAATAATAGGGTTGGTTTGGATTGATGCCTTAGGCAACCCAAACCAACCAAGTGTACTACGCTTGTAATCATATTCTTGTTCATTATGTCAGTATAACTAGTGTAAGAGCATGTGCTATGCACGTCTGCAAGTATGTATTAACCATATATGATATATTGTATTTGGATTTAACTTTTATAACGTATACAGAACTCAAAGGCAAGTATCCACTTTATATAGTAATAGATACATGTATACCAAAAAGAAAAAGATCGATACAAGTTTTTGTTTATTGTAAAATATTACCATAATATGATGTCTATGTATCATTTTCATACAAAATGGTGTTTGAATGAGTATGATAGTGTGTACTCATGACAATGTTTGTAAATTTGGTTGGAAAGGGTCCAACAAGAACCCAACCTGGCCAACGTGACCTCATGGTCAGGTGAGTTCACATCCTCTGTACCAGAACAATAGCAATCTGCCACACCATTTAAAAAATCACTTTAATTTTGAAATAGGAAGAACAGGCTGGTATGACAGATTGCTATTGGTCTGGTACAGAAAATTATCTGTACTAAGGGCACAGAGGATGTGATTTCTGATCAGGTTGGGCTAGGAATGAGTACAGCAATCTGAAGATCAGGTTAGGATTTAGGTTTTTTTACTTTTTTTTTTTGAAGTCAGAATTGAGGTTTTAATATGTTGGGCTAGTTAGGATTGACCTTGATCTGAACCAATTAGGACTGCATATCAGGTTGCCAATTTTAAAGAATTTAAACTACATCGGGCTTGAGTTAGGGTTCAGGCCCATTGAATTTTTCTGCTTTAAAAAGGACCATTGAAAATTTAACAAATTTCCAACCCAATCTGACCCAAGTTGCAACCCTAGAGCCAACCCGGCCTGAGTTGCACACCAGAATTTACACTTAACCCCATTTGCACTCTCATGCACACTGCAAACAGACAGTGCCTTTGGAACTACTTAATGGGGATCCTGGATTTGTTCTTGGATAATATAGCCAACCATCTAGAACTCACCAATGTAAAACAGAACCAACACCATAAGCATCTTGAGTAGGTTGGCAATGCAGAAGTTCTCGATGTAACAGATGAGATCCCATGTTGATCCACAAACTGTGCTGAATGACAATCAAAGGCAAAGAACTATCTTAGTCAACTCAGCGAAGATTGAAAAAAACAAAATGAAAATATTCCATATCTAAATAAAATATAATACAGCAAGTATGGGTGGCAGTTCTAGTCCCAATGGGATGAAGAATTGCAGTGATTTCGCACCTGCAAGACTTTCCAGTGAGGAAGTCGACCGGAGCTCGAAACATATCACTGACAGCATTGCTGAATGCTGAAACAAATGACCTGATTATATTGCCCATCTTGTCTCTAACTTGGACGGTTCACAGAACGGCTGGCTGCTCCGAGAAGTGTTCTCATAAAGAACATGGTAAGTCAGTATTTAGTGCCAACATTGAAGTTACAGTGATTCTGTGATAATTAATTTGACTAAGTTTTTTCTGTTTTTCTGTCTGGCTTATGGGGTCTGAAATTTATCCAACCAGCAGACAAACCCAGAAATGTTTATTGTCCCTAAAACTGATTGAAAGATTAGAACAGCTTGAATGCAAGCCGATCTAACAAACAACAACTAGAAGCAAACTTGTCTGCATTATCAAGTCAGAAGATGAAACAGTGCAGAAGATTCAGACATTTAAAAATAGCAAAGACAGAATCAAAAGTCAAAACACGCCAAACCAATTTTATGAATCATGGGTTTAGTGGCGAAATTCATGGTCAGAGGCATTGCTTGAGCGTGAACGCGAGTAAGATGGAAACGTTAAAAGGGAAGAGAATGAGAAAAAAAAAAAAAAACTTAGGAATCTATACCCATATACTAAAACAAGCATGCTACGTTGGTGGAAAAAAGAAAATTTATGAGGAAAACTACCCATAACAATCGGTATGTTATTACCTTTGGAAAAATGGGTTTGGCCCGTGAAGTCACAGAGGTAAACGGTGAATGAGGTCGACCCAACCTGAAAAATTGGAAGAAAATGTTAGAGAAAAGGAGGAAGGGGAACAAGTTTGGAAGCCGAACTCTGTTCGTGGAACAAAATGACCGAAGTGCTTCGAGTTTTGGCCATGAAAAATTCAAAGTAGGAGAAAAAAGGGAAAGAGAAAAAAATATATGTTATCACCTGCGGGAACGATCGTCGCCGGTGAAAAATTCAGAGATTTCCTCCTTCCAGTCGCCAGTTATTTTGCCCCTACGCCCCCAACGTCTCTCCTTTCCAGCGAGTGAGTGATATTTTATCTTTCAAATCGAATTTACCCGCCTCCCACGTGTAATGTAGGCGATATGTACACGTGTTCGTAATTTTTAAAATCCCATCGCGCGTTACGGCGTTGGCGCGTGCTCTTGTACTTTGTTTGGTTTGAAGGAAAATGTAGGGAAAGGAAGGGAATAGGTTCCCTACCTTTTCCTTCACACCAAACATAGCAAGAGTTCCAAGTGGCGAGAAGGGTGTCAATGGATCGGTCTGTCGACTCTGTCCAACGGATCCGGACTGAGCGACTATAAGTTTATAATGGCTCTGGATCCCATGATTATTTGGAATTAGGAATGACAACGGGTAGGATAGTTTTGAAAATTACCCTATCCATTTTCAAAACCGCCTATATACCCCCAAATTCATGTTTGTCATAAATTCATCTAACTTTTTTTCTCAATTTTTCAAATCCATTCTCTGGCAAACCTGTTCCGACCCATTCCACCCGTAAAACCCCCTTGATCCCAATGTTTTCTACTAAAAAGAATTTATTAACACTTGTAGAGTGACTTGAATCCTGATCAATTAATGATAGTACCAAATCTCTTAATACTACTTTAGGCAACTAAGCCATGTCACATTTTTGTGTTATTTAATGAAATAAAATAAATTTTATTTTGTGTTTATTCAAACAATCAATACATATATGATTAACAATTTCAACCAAAAATTAAAAGAAATAATATTTAAAATTAGCATTTTATAACTAAATAAAATAAATAATCTATCAAATCCAAATTTACATCAAATGATGATTTTAATCCCAAGAAGTTTATACAAATAAAATATTAATAATAGAATAATTATCTTAGTACTTAAAATTTATAAATTTGTACATGATATATATCATAGAAGTCTTGCAATTTTGTTCTAAGCTCTTCCAATATGTGTTTAGTTTCTCAAAGGATAAGAGAGAAGACATTCTTGTATGGCATGGGACCCATATGCCAATAGGCTTCTGTTAAGTCCCCAATGACTCTAGAAAAGTCCCAATCAAATTGCTCTTGGTTGGATTTAAATAGAACACTAATTCAGCCCAGTTTGACAAATCAAAACTAATCAAGTTTCTAGTCTAAGGTGGCGTTTGATAAATTTGAAATCTAAAGTCTAAAAAGTTAAAAAGATATTAAAAGTGTTTAAAATCTAAAAAGAGGCATAGATGCTTTTCTATTTTTTAGAGGCTCTGAATACTCAAGCTTGTTTGTGTTGGACCAAACCTTTAACATCTGAAATTCTCTAATTTTACTATTTTACCCCTAAAAAAGACTATTTGATAATTTTGAGCTCAATTTGTACTATTTCATATAAAATAATTTATCAAATTCAAAATAATATTTAATAATGAGTAATAAATAAAATTTCAATAATTAATAAAATTAATAACTAATAATTAATGATTACTAAAAATAACTAATATTTATGAAAAATTACTAATACTTAATAAAAAACACAAACAAAAATTAATAAAAATGAAATAATTAACACTAATAAGGATAAAAATAATTAGTAAAAATTAATGAAATTAATATTAATAACTAATAGTTAAAATTTTAAAATTAAACAAAATAATTAACAACTAATAAAAATATTAAAATAAATAGCACTAATAATTACTAAATAATACCTAACAATGTTAATCATTAAGAATTAACATTTAATAACTAATACATAATATTAAAATAATTAAAACCAAATAAATATGAAAATAATTAATAAAATCAGTAATTAATTAATAAATAATAAAAAAACAAATAATTAAATACTAAATGTGCAACTAGTATCTAATAAAAAATACTAAATTAATCAAAAATAATAAAAATTAAAATAATTTATAATTAATACAAAAAAACTCATATAAACTAAAAATATTTTATTCAATTCAAAATAATATTGATTAAAAAATAAAAAATAATTTATTCAATTCAAAATATAATTTATTCAAAAAAAAACTTAAATTCTGGTCACAAATGCAAAACCATGTCTTAAAAAGTGAATGGACTGTGGGAGGAAGAAGATGTAAGATAAAACTTAACGATAAAAAACGAAGGAAATTGTAACACATGTATTCTCCATTAGAGTTTAGTTTAGTTTACAAAGAAATATGTATAGAACCGTGAGTTCAATTGGGACCCCAACAACTCAAATACATAACTTTTCTAAGGGATTCTTCGGAATGCTTCATCTTCTGTTGATCTGTCATCAACTTCATACTCACTAGGACCATGGAACAAGAGATCTTCTTGGCCTGAGAGAAGGATCCCATATTGTTCTTGGTGTGGTGATGCAAACATCTAAGAGCGTAGTTCCATCTACAAAAACCTTGATCCTTTAAAACCTCAATTGCTCCAATGCTCGCAGCTATGATCCAAGCTCTGCTTGTCGAACTCATCCTCTGTTTTGGATTATGAAACTTTTTTGTTTGGAAATTGGGTGACGAAGGTTCCACATAATTGATTATGAAACGTTTTGGATTATGAACTCATTCAAATAATTGATTAAAATAAATTATTCAATTCAAAATATAATTTATTTAGAAAATTATATCGTTCCCTAACTCGTTGTCTCGCCCTCGCCTGAAACGTTCCACATCTTTGATGCATCAATCATCGGAAAGCATAGACCATGCTCATCAGTGGTTTCGGCGGTGCGCCCCTAGGATGATAATCACAATGCGGCACGGTGACCGGATTAACAACGCGAAGCCCTTGTGGGTCACCATGGCAATGTGCCCCTGGGACTCACCACTCATGGAAGCCAACAAAGTTCAAGCCTTCTGCATCGGGAGAAAGCTCCGTGACAAGCTTGATTTCTTGATTCACAATGTTCATTTCCCCTTTCCTCCGTTGCATCCAACCCGCTTTGTAGGCTGTGTAGTGCTACCCTAAAAGTTTAAGAATATAGCAAGAAGCAATGTCAGATGCAGTTCGTTCGATGTGAAGGTTTGCGGCCATGAAATCTGGAGCAATCTTTAGATGCGTAGGTTTGTGAGAGAAATCAGATGTAGGCGACAATCTTCCTTCTCATTTGTTCAAGAGAGAAAATGTAAATGAATTAGGTTTCTTAGGTTTTGGGGTTAAACAGGGGTAATTTGTGCCATTTCAAAATTTTTAGAAGGGCATTTTCGACTTTGTGTTGGATCTGAAACACGTCTAAGCGCGTTAAGTGCCAGGCTATGAACTTAAAATTTTAGATCTAAAAACAGATTTCATATCAGTTTTCAGACGCAACACCAAACAAGTCTAGTGTCTGAAAAGTAAGTTTTTTAGACACCAAACCTCTAAAAAGTGTTATCAAACGCCACCTAAATAGAAGTCTTGCAATTTTGTTCTAAGCTCTGCCAATATGTGTTTAGTTTCTCAAAGGATAAGAGAGAAGACATTGTTGTATGACATGGGACCCATATGCCAATAGGATTGAACTATTATTGGGCCCTCTCACTCACTTGAAGTGAGTTGGGCCTACTAGACCGAATTCACTCTACTTAAAGAGTGAATCACCTATAACATTATGGGTTTGAACATTTCAGCACATTGGCATCTAATACTTAATTATTAGTATGAAATACTAATTACTTGGGCCTAAACCACCCTATGAGCCCAAGTCTAATGGTCCTAACCTAATTATATGTCCATTAGGGTTTTGGGCCTAATAAGACACTTCATGATTTCAGAGTCATTAATACCTAACACCAAAATTTAGGGAAGAATTCATTCCCTTAACACATAACCCAATTTCATACCCTTTCATCAATGGACCCCGAGAAGGAATTATTTTGAAAATATTTTCATAATAAATTATACATACATACATACATACATATATATATATATATATATTGCAAAAATTGATTTTAACAACCTCTGAAATCCACTATCCATAGTTTTGACTACCCATTGAAGAGGGCATGTTCACAAATATCCTCTTTGTCTAACAAAGTGGTTGATCCTATCACAACGATCACTTGCCCAAACACCCCACTTAATTGCTCCAACATACCCAAATGTTGACTCCAAAAGGATCTCACTGATTGATATATCAAAAATAGTTTAGTTGGATATCTAAGTATCACTATCAAGGGTTTACAAGCAATGGTTCAGCTATTCCACCTATTCAAAAGTCCTAAAACACTCTAAAACTTTGTCCAATTAGTGTTTCAAGTAAACACCCATATCTACACTTCGAGTCACAACCCTATAAGATGAGACAGCCTACTCCATCACTTTTGTAGTGTGTAAATATCAACCTTGTCAGGATTAGACTACCCAAGTTTATCCATTAGTTCTGAACATTTAAATTACTAGTAATTAAGCACATGCATTGCACGTGAGAATTTTTTCTTCATATTAATTACTTGAATTTTAGATATTTCATAGTTAAGATAGAAATTAAAAATTAATAAAAGTAACAATATAATTAAAACTAAAAGTAAGTGCTTATTGTAAATGTCTAAATGCACGTGAAAATTTATTATTATTATTATTATTATTATTATTATTATTAACTTTTTTATTCCATTTATATCATAATAAAAATGAATTTTATTTTAACAATTATGTTTATTTAATATGATGAATATAGAATATTAGAAATGTTTCCAAATGTTTTCAACAAAATTCTGCACTTTTTCATTTTTTGTGTTTTATGTTTTTTTAAATATTTATTATTCAATTATGACATCATGAGTTTCTTTGAAAAGTTGGATCATTGACCCACCATCTAAATAAGAAAATAACTTTGCTTTTGGATTAGTTTTAAGTTATATATTTCATCTACAATATATAAATAATTTCTACTTATCATACTTCATTTTTGTTTGACATAATTAATATAACTTTTTATATATTCTTTTGATTACTTGTACTTTTTTATTTTTTTAAAATTTACTATTTAGCTATCATATTATCAATTAATCCATTTGACCCAAACCACTAACCCACCACCCAATAAGAAAATTAGTTTGATTTCTTTGTTGACATTAAATTTTGTATTGCATTTTCGTCATTAATAAAATTATTTATTATGTACAATACTTATTTTTTTAAATATAATGAATGTATAATATTAGATATATACCCAATATTTTATTTTTTATAAATGTATAACATGTGCCCAAATGTTTCTCTATTTTTTTATTTTTGTGATTCTTTGTATTTTTTATTTTTAAAATTTTATTATTTGACTACGGCATCATTTCATTTCTAGGTTGATTTTAAATTTGGCATTCCATTTTCAACATTAATAAGAATAATTCTTACATTTCATACTTTTTTTTTGTTTAGTATAATGAATATACAATATTAAAGATATGTCCAATTCTTTTTATTTTTATTTGTATTATATATTTACTTCATTTTAATTTATTTTATTATTTAATTATGACATTATTTATTAACCCATTTCACCCTATATAGTATAATTGCTTACCCACCACCGGGTGGGAAGAAAATGGTTTTGTTTTTAAATTTATTTTATAAAATATTTATTTTTATACTATAAAATTAATGTTATGAATTTAGTTAGTAGAATTTAATGATAAGAAAAATATATGTTAAATATAGGATTTAATGAGAGAATATACCTTAGATATGATATTTAATGAGTGAAAATAGGAAAATAGTTTTATTTCCAATTAGTTTTAAATTTTACATTCCATTTCCGTTTAATAAAATCATTTTATTAATTATCATACTTATTCTTGTTTAATATGCAAAATATATGATGTTAAAAATGTTCCCATTTTTTTAATTTCTATTTTTTTGTATTTTATCTATTTTTTAATTTTATTATTTAATTGTGACAACATGGATTGTCCCATTTGACAAAAAAATGATTTAATTTCTTATAACCACCTAGGCGAAAACACTTTTTTCAAGATATATTTTAAAAGTATAAGTTTTTGTGTTATTGAAATTATCAATTTATTTTATATGGATTTAATTAATAGAATTTAATGATGAGAAGAAAAAAAATGCCCTAAATATAGGATTCAATGAAGGTGAATGCAAGTTAATACATTAAATTTTGGATTTAATGAGATGAAATTGAATGCATTAAATATCTTAAAATTACATCTTTTCAAGTCATTTAATATCAATAACTAATTACCCTATTTGCCCTCTTTTTATGAATAAATTTAAATATGGAGGGATAAATTTTGTCCTCAAAATATTCCAGAAAAAATATTGAGGCTATTTGTACTTTTTAAAGTAGTATAGATTATGTATGGATTTAATTGGTGGAATTTAGTGATGAGAGTAAATAAAATGTTTTAAGTATATGATTTAATGAGGGTGAATGAAAGCTAATACCTTAAATGTGTGATTTAATGAAAGGGAATTGAATACATTGAATAATAGCATTCAAATTATATTTTCTACCCTCACAAATAGAGGGATCATATTTTAGAAAAGAGGGTATTTCGGTTAAAAAAATTCCAGATATTTTAGAGGCTATTCGTACTTTTTATAGTAGTATAGATATACTGAATATGGTGTCTCAAACATAATCCTAAATGTAGTTCAAGAGTTAATTAGCAAAGGCACACCACATGACACATGAAATAAATGCAAATGCACTTTTATTCATAATAAATATCAATTACAAACACTATTGGACCCGAGGGCATACCATATCCAACAAAAACCCCCTGAGTATTGGCAAATCTCTGGAGACTAACTTAAAGTTCATTCGATTAATCAAAATATGAACTTAGCTCATGGTGGCAAGTGGTTCCCATGCTTTAGAGGGCCAATTTCACAAGCTTTTAAAGGAACCCTCTACATCACTCCAACAACTAGAGAAAAGATGTGAATATGATGTGAAATAATCATACATCGTAGAAGGCATAGAAGGGAAAAATAGGATTTTAAAAATTTTAAATAATTTTACATGTGAGTTTCAATAATGGAGGGTATGTTTAAGTCTAGTGGGCCCACAAGGTATATTTATGTTTATTTGAAAACTTAGGGTATGTTTAAGTCTTTTACCCTATTAACAAAACTAAAAATTATCTAGCAATACCTTATATAAACAATTCAAAAAACAAAGAGCAAAACTAAAATTCATTTCAATTGCATTTAAAATAAAAAATATTATTAAAAATTCATAAGGTTCAATTTGGGAAGAGTACAAATACAAACATGTACAATGCAAATACAAGTTTTAGAAATGTAACATACATGGTTTTGCACTATACATCATATCTATATATATACTCTTCCCAAATTGAGCCTTAAGTTTTATCAATTTTAAAATTATTTTTATTAATAAAATAAATAAAACTTATTTTGTTAATAAAAATAATAACCTATGAAAAATTAATAAACAATAAAACTTATTTGATAAATTTGGATTCAGTTCTCACAAAATTGTGCTCACATGGTTTTCACAACCACTTACAGCTATGCATTGAGAATATCTCATGAATATTTCAACAAATATCATCCCATAAATAAAAACATTCAAGTACGGAGATTTTTTCAATACACGATTGCTAGTAGCTGTGAATATGGAATGAGCACAGTCTTAGTCTTGTGGGGACTGAATCCGATCTCATATTCAATGGCAGAAATAGGGTCTTGAAGTGAGTATCATACCAGAGATGAATCTACAATATATTAACATTTCTAGCCGATAAAGGAATCGATCTCAGTGATGGATGCTTCCAACAGTGACAGCAATTATTCCTACAAAGCAATTTTTACTGTATTTTATTATTAATCAAATTTATCACAAACACTTAGAAAGAAGGGTAGGGGATAGGTTTGGGATTCTAGAATGTTTAAAATCACACATGACTTTACATGATGTGGATAACATGTATATATTAATATATTAATATATATTAATATATGATGATAATCATATTCTTTATTAATCAAATTCAGATATCCAACATCCTTAACAAATTCAAATTCAGATCACCATTTGTGAGATCCGATCAAATCTTTGAATCGGATCTAATCTTGAATATGTCAGATTTGGATATTACCCTAATTTGAATCCGATCCATTTGCATGTACATTACCAATCCGTGTGACATGGAATACATTTAAGTAGTTCTGAAAACCATGGCCATGGAATACATTTAAGTAGTTCAGTACATGTTTTTTTTTTTAAGCAAGTAAATGGAATATTTAAGTAATTAACCCAGAACTTAAAAGATAGAATTTCAACAGCATATAAATATTTGAAGCGTTTCCAGTCATTGAAGGTAGCCTATAATCAATCAGTCACAACCAAAATTCTGAGAAAGAAAATTACAATATCTTTTAATAGTTTTGATTCTTGATCCAAAGAGAATATTTTGGGACGGTGAGAAACTACCCCTACAAAAAGTGGCAGGAGGTAGTGTCCTGAACGCCAACAGGATAGAAGTCTCCAGTTGAGAAAACGAGGCTCCAGTTCGCATTTGAAATTAGAGAAAGAGTGCTGCACTGGAAATAGGAAGCTCTGACTTTCAGCTCTATGAAGTGAGGTCAGTCCATCCTCCCCTTCAAGGTTCTCTCTATTACTTCAGTTGGTGTACTGCAACAAAGCCAACCAAAAAGAAAATGTCAGTCTACCAATAACTAGGGTGTGATTACATGCAATCCCAGTGAAAGCCCCAAATCTCCCCATTGGCCTTCCACTCAGTCATCACATGTAACCAAAATGGAGATATCTCATCAATAAAAAATGGCCGTTTTTTTTTTGATAATAATAGAGAGGTGCTACAGAAGATGGGGGGTAGGTAGCACGACCCCAACTGTCAAACAAGCAGATATAAGCTAGACTCAGGGATGATACTTGTACAAATGGCCGATGTCTTTGATTCTATGTAGAAGAAGAAGAAAAAAAAAACAAAACTATGCAAAGATGTACAAGTCCTATTATATTGGTTCAGTCCATGAATGAACCAGCAGTCAGCCCAATGAGGAAAACTGGACCACCCAATAGATGGTCAACATTCATAAGATATAGCTCGCCAACCAATTGCAGGCAAATTTCGATAATCCTATGTTCTATATTTGTAGGGTGGTAATAATACTATTTCTATAAAATGCATCTCTCCATGATGCTAAACAAGGTGAATAAATGATGCTTGAGAAATGAATGCCATCGTAAACTCACTTATCTGCAATCTTCTTTCTTTCTTTCATCTCTAGCAGAGAAGCATTTACCATGCATAGATGATATAGAATAAAACTAAAACATACAGAAGCACACTTTCTGATGGAAAAGTGAAGGAATTAGGGCTTACACAACAAAGACATGTCCTCCCCACCCACTCAAACAATCACGATCTACTGATGACAGCAGTGCCTGAGATATGGTCTCAAATAATTCTTCTGGTTCCTGAGTAACAGTTCAAGTAACTATTCAGAACAAAAATTCATAAGCTATGACCATGACATAAGAATCAATTAGCCAACCCTTGTGAAACTAAAACACTCATATTCACTTATTTGTTTTGTTTCCTTATAATTTAATAGGAGCAGCTTCAGTTCCTGCAGATGTGAAACCAACTACATTTCCTTAGGTTTCTATCCTCCCTGTATTACATGCTAAGAGCCCTCAAAAGGAGCATTCATATATTAACATATCCTGCCAACTGGGTCAGGACCATGGAAATTGAAACCAATATCCTCATCTCTTTTAACTGAAATAAACATAAAAACTGTTGAATTTTTCTTGAATCATTCTTTTTAGATATTTCAAAATGTAAACTTCCATTCATTTTAACAGAGAATTACTTTGTTGACTTACGTGTACTCATGGCTTCTGGCATGTAACAAAAGAGATGATAATATATGCTTGGTTCAGTTACAAATATTTTTCTGATTTGCACTTTTTACTCAATCATAAAGGTATTACACCCATCAAAGTTGTATTTTAACTTCCAAGTCATTTTCAAACCTTCAGAGTTGAGACAGTGTGGAATCTTGAGGTATTACATCTATTTATTTATTTTTTATCAATACATCTATTTACTTTTTCAATCAAGGGTTTATCCCCCCATCCCCCCCCCCCCCAGATCACTATACTATCATTCTTCAATAAAATAAAATAAAATAATAATAATAATAATAATATAGAACAAAAGCAAACTTCAGTCACAGTCAAAAGATGACAGGACATTATTTTAACGAATCAAAAGATAATGCAGACTCAAGACAACATAGACCCATAGATCTGCCAAATTTGTGCCTGGATCATAGGAGTGGATTTGCAATTGAATTTCATATTTTCATTCATGCCTCAATTCTCCAGAATTTAAATAACTACTAATAATTTCTAATTCTTCTAAACACAGAATTCAAGGTCAAAATCCATGTTTTGCTAAATTCCACTTTGCAGTTGAAGTGGACATATTATCCAAGCTAAAACCACTGACATGTAGAATTCCCCCCGCCAATCCTGTTACCAAATTACCAATTGCAATTCCACTTAGATCCAAAGACAGTCTAAGAGATAACCATGTTACCGTATTTACATGTAACCTAGTAATTATGCCAATTGTGCTCAAGATATGTTCCAGCCTAACCTTCTCAAGGAATTTGTATTTTTATTGTGTCAACCACATGAAACTCAGTGACTTGTTGCTTCCTACTCAAACTTGGTGGTGCCTACTAAAATGAGATATCAAGTACTTGCCCCTTGTAAAAGTAGAAATCAAATAAAATATGCAACAAACCATGTCAGGCTTGTACATCGACTCGCATGCACCATAAAGAGACTCTGATGCAGTACCAGCAACAACAAAATCTTTTGCAAGCTCCCTGCAAGTTCCAAATGTAAGCAAAATAAGGTGACTCACCAAAAAAAGTTCATTAATATTACCCAAATCCGACAAAACTCAAAAGTAGGTTATGAAAATCTAGGTTTTGTAAGGACTAGAAATGCACTAAAAATATACAACAGTGAATCACATGCAACCAAGTTAGTGGTGTTGAGCATGTCTAGGGTTTTCTCTTGCCAAGTTTCGTTTCCCAATCTGAGAAATTGTGAACTACAATGCAACTACTGCCTGTCTCTGTAAATAATTGTGTTTTTAGTAAAAAGTAAAATTTCACTAAAAAAGTTAAAGAAGATTACAATGGAATGGTGAAGACATTTCACCTAACATGAAATAGACACATACATAAATAATGAACAAATTAACTCAAGTACATCTGAATTACTCCCATTAACTAAACCCATAGAAAATCATACCTATCCGCAAGATCTTCCTTACTAATATCTTTAAATTCCGGATGAGAAAAAGATTATTCCATGATTGAAGAGCATATATCAACAACCAGCTTCCATCTTGAGCAATATTTATCTTAAAAAATGCATCTATTTCTCACTTTCCAAATACCCCAGCAAACTGCAGAAATAATGATGCTTCATAAGATTTGTGTCCTGCTGCTACCCATTACACTTTAGGTCACAGTGAATATATTTGAATTCGGTTGGATTTTATTTCTGAGCATTAAAAATATCAAAAATGAAATCCCAAATAAGTTCTTTCCAGATGCAATTAATGAATAAATGCCTCACGTCTTCCTCTTGCTTCTTGTACATAAAACAAATACATGGAAGATAAAAGCCTCTAGTAAGGATGCTATCCAATGGTAAATTGCTAATAGCCAAGCAAATACTCTAGGAGGTGGGTTACCCTAAAACCCTTTAATTTGATCTTTCCAGCTAAATTTTAGTCATTGATTCATAGTATGATTTGACTGAAAATTCTCCATCAAGGATGCTATCCAATGCTATTTTTTATTGGGGTTTTGTTCTTTCTAAAGAAAGAAAGAGAAACAGAAAAAGAAGATTTTATGTTGAAAGGCAAGATCAAGACAATCTAATTATTTGTAACTGCTAGCATTCTATAGCATGCACTTCTAAACAATAGCAATACAAACATGATAAAGAAAGGAAATTAACATACTTTGCACCAATTGAATCCATTGTGCAAATAAATGGCTTGTCATCATCTCCTAATCCAGCAATCACAGGTTGACAGAAGTATGGTCCAAACCTACAAAATGAAAACAACCACATTTCATTTCTTTTAGCGGTCTCACCTTTTTTTCTTACAGAAACTATTGCACATAATTACATCTATAAAGTACCATATAATAAGCATCTGAAAACAAATTAGACAACCAATCCAATATGTTTCTACATTTTTCTATGTTAATAGAGCAACTTCTTTATCAGTAATTGCAAGCTTTATTCATAAGAATCAGTTATTTTGGGCTCAATTTTAGTTTTTGTTTTGATTTTGAGGCTGCATCTCGCACCTCTTTGTGGGAGCAGTCATGTTGCATCTTTCTTATTGATCTTTAATGAAGTTTCTATCACTATATTTAAGCATGTGCCAAGCACCCCAATACAATTGCTAGTCTGGCTAAGTGGCTAGTCATCTTATATATGGTTATACAAGGAAATATTCCTTTACCCTTGGGGTATCAAACCCCAAGACATTTCTCTTCAGTTTACTCCCTGTTTTGCAAACCCATCAGCAACAGTGTTGGCCAATCTAGGAGTTCACTTCCCCTGTATGCTGTTCTCAGCTCTACTGTCAATGTCAAGCATTAACTAAATAATTTATCAAGCTTAGGAAAAAGCCAGGACAGCAGAAAAAACAAAATGCATCACAAAATAAACAATGAGAATTTTTATAGGAAACAGTAACTTTCAATAGAATAAATAATGAAAATTTCAAAGATAAAGCCATTTTTATCTTTCTTTCCTTTGTTCTCTTTTTAGCTATTTGTGTAATAGGAAGTGTACATATTGTATTTTTGGATAGGTAAGTGTACATATTGTATTAATGATGCAAAAAAGGAATCCAACAGCCTAAAAGTGTTTTGCATGGTTAATGGGAAAAAATGATGCACAACTCCCACTACAAAAGGATATAGAACCCAAGTATTCAACCATACAATGTAGCTGTGCCAAATTAAACCATCCTACCCCCACCTAGAGAGAGATGACTTGGCCAAACCTAGTGTCCAAAAGAACTTAGTTCAACTTAGATGCCAATAACATTCATCCAACTATTATACTTGAGTCATCCCCATCCAAAATCTACTTAAACCAAGGGAATGAGAATATATAAAGCCTTTTACAAAACAAAGATATCAACACTATTTGAATTACCATCACCATCAAGCCTAAAGGGATGAATAAAACAATCCACAAAGGCTCTTGGCTCTCCAATACCCAAAGGGCCAGGAATGCTAAACTAGAAACCCTTGAAATTGAGTTTCTACTGTAAATAGCATGCAAATGCTTTAGAAGGACAAAAGAAGAGAAGAAGATTAAAAGTTAAAAAGAAAGCTTGATTTACAAAAGGCCAAAGTGGCCGAGTCTGAGAACAGCCACTTTGTGCAAAAAAAAAATGTCAAAGGTTAAGTCCATATCCAGTCCATCCCTCTGAAAACCCCAGATAGCCAGAACCAGCAAAGGTATTGTAATTTTTCTATTAGCATCCCTTCAACTCTCATTAAAATTTTCACAAGGTCTAGTTAGTTCAGTTTTTATTCAATTCTTTAAGCAAGGGACTTCTATCACAAACACAGATATTTATTAGGTTTAGCCAGATCCACCAGGGTTACTACATCTGAGACATAATCTAAGACAGCAATCATTTCCTTGTATAAGCAGTTATTGTTACACATATAGACACACATTACTGCATCTGAGACATAATATCCATCTCTAACAGTGATTTAAAAGGCGTGCCTAGGCACACAGGCGAGGTGCATTTTAGGGTAGGCGCCTCGCCCAGGTCCTACGTGCAGCACTTTCAAAAGGCGCATGCCTGATGCACCTTGTGCCTTGAAGTAGGGCTTTATATGCTTGAAAATGTTTTTTATGTTTGATTTTATTTTTAAATTTTCATTTGAATATGCTTTACATGTTATGTTTATGTATTTTAATTTTAGATAGTACGTTTTTTAAAACCATTAATTTTAAAAACTAAGTTTATATTTCTTATTAATATTATGTTTAATAATTTTTTTTTTGCATTTTTTGAATTTTTTGGCTTTTTTTGAATTTTCTGACTTTTTTTTATCTTTTAGCAATTTTTTGTATTTTTGCACCTTGCTTCAAAAAGGCGCACACCTTGCCTTGCACCTCTCGCCTCAGGGGCAAATTGGCCCTTGCACCTTTTTTGCGCCTTGTGCTTTTAAAACACTGATCTCTAAGAGAACAATCAATTTTGTGTATGAGCTATTATTGGAATTTGGAAAGACGACATATCCCTTCGGATAACCACCAGCATCCAATAGAGTTCTCATTCATAGGCCATCTACAAAGGGACAAATGCAGACACATCAAATGAAAAATCTTTACACAGGGATGAATGTAGAAAAGTTTCTGTTTACTTCTTTGCATAAATAACAAAGCATAGAATAATGTGCAATTTAGAATGACATTTTGTCAAGCCCTTCTAATATCTAGAGTAAATTGCTTGCTGATATTGAGAATAGTATTAGTCTACAATCTATTAGGACCTATCTTATCCTCATTTACTCAAGGAAAGTCACAGACAACTTTGATAATTTTTACCATCAACTTCACTGTCAGTCGACATGATATACCATTCCATTTAAGCCAGTATAGAGAACTGGGGGCTGAATTGAACACGTAAAGATAGTTTTCCATTTTACGCTTTCACTAATAAAACATCACGTAATTGAAGAGTTAGAGTTGGATATCATCTTCAAACTAAAATACGAAGCATATTCCTAGAAGCAAATGCAATTGATTCTAGACAATATTTAAGTTACGGACCAAAACTAAGAATTACAGGTCCCCTAAATCTTGATCCAAAGTATAATTAATCGGATGTAGAACCAATCTCAAAGGGTCTAATCCAGATCAGATGAACCTTATTTCAGCCCTAAATTTAAATAATCCAGTTTTTGAGAAACACCATGAGTTCTGCAAATTCCAACATAAGCGGTTCAATCTTAACAATAATGCAACTTGTGTGGAATCAAAACGAAATGACCAACCTTTTCTCGTAAAGAATAGCGGACACAAGACTGGCAAAGGTCTCGGGTTTCATATCCCTCTCTTCTCGAAGCTGGTACAGCTTGTGACGGAAAACGAGCCGTTGATACCTTTACATTAAGGGAAGATTAAGAGAACCCCAATTTGGAAATTAGAGGTGAGAAGAAAAAGACTGAAAAACAAAGAGAAGAGAAAAATGCTCACAGCGTTTGAGCATCGGTAGCTAGGCCTGAGAGACCGATATAGAGTTTATCGTGAATCTTGTAAATCCTCTGGAAATCGGTGGCAATGGTCTGAAGCTGAACTCCTAGGCGGCGATCGCTGGCAATGGCGAAGCAGTTCTTCCCTACCATTGCAATAAGGGCACTGCCATTGTACTCGAAGATCTGAGGAAAGGAACAAACCCAAATGAGATTTGAATGTTCCTTATAGAGATTCAAACGAAAAAATGAGATGAATTGAGAACGAAAACCTACCGACATGGGGACAAAAGAGCGCTGAACGAAGAGAGGAGACTGAGGAGAGAAGGGGGATTCAACGAGCAAAGCAGAGAAGAAGCTTGGGAAGAAAGAAAGAAACTAGAAAAGCCTGTAAAGGGTTCTGGCTCTCCGGTCTCCCCCTGTAAATTTGTCTTAAACCAGCCGTTGGTCGAACCGTTGAAGAGGTCTGATCGAAGCAACCCGGTTGACCACATTTTGTAGTTTTGTTGGATCTTGCAAAATGCTTTTGTGCAACTCTTTATTTACTTCGCTCTACAGACGATGTTGCAACACACATCTGCACTCTGCAGGTCAAATGACACAAGAATTGCCTACCTGGTTGTTTACAAATTGGGCTGGCGTAGAATGGGCAGCAATTGTTGAACCGGACAACTGATAAGTATAGCCCATATCCACGAATTTGCGAGTTGGGCTAGATAGAATAGGCCTAAACCCAACTTAGCCCATTTCAAGCTTCCCGTGCTTTATCCACAACTATGACCAAAATGTTCATTTGGATATTACATTTTGGTATGCCTGGTTTTCTCGTGAGAGAGTCACTGTTTGAAAATGAGTTTTGGGTCAAAATTTTTAGCTCCAAAGAATGAATTCTTAACCCCTGTTCGGGAGTGTTTACTTTTAAGCATTTATTTTAGTCTGGAATCACACCAATAAGGAAGGTTTTTAAAACTGGACCGGACAGGGAACCATTCTAGGGACCGGTTCCTGGGTAGAACGGTCTAATATTTTGGACAATGGTCCAACCATCCAGTCCGAATGGAAGGCCCATTCTGACAAAATTTAAAAAAAAAACAAAAAACAAAAAAATGGCTAAAAACCATTGTCTGGGTCAACAGTTCAATCGCCCTAATCAGCGGTTTACTGACCAAATCAACAATTTTTTGCTAAAAAACGATTTTGGATGAAATGAATATCAGTTTCCGATTTTTCCAGTCCAACCGTCCAGTCCCATCCGGTTTTGAAAACACTACCAATAAGCACTTATATAAGAAGGGAAGAGGGATTGTATGGGAATCAACACAAGCAATACGGAAACCCACTCACTGGATGCTCTTTTCTCTTCACAACATTTAAAACCCATAATTGAAGTAGAAACATATTATTCCAACTTTTCTACAAAGAGAACTATATTGAATGTAACACTTTTCTCCCTTCTCTTTGAAATGCTTTTCTCTTGTTCAGCATTTTCCATTCAAGATTCTAACTAAGAGACAAGAGTGTTTAGAACCAAACAGTGCCTAAGAAAAAGAAAGTTGTGCAAAAGTTTTAAAATGTGGCTTAAGGTGGCTTTGGGTAACACTAAAACGGGGTCTGATATGTTCAAAACTTGCTTTTCAGAGGTGGATCTCATTGTTTTGATGTGGATCTATGTCTAAACCATTCCTCAATGATAATGTGATTTGGTAAGAAATGGCTTTATTCACAAAATGTTTTCAAATGCGTCTTGCATGGTTCATAAAAGACCAAAGTGCCTTCGTTTTCTTTTAATATTATGGAGGCTTTGAAAAATAGAAAAGGAAAGGTGATGGTTTCAAATTTCAAATCTGTAAAAATAGTTTTTCTGCTTTACAGATATCAGACTTCTTTTTCATCAAACGCCACTAATAGGGGTGAGCAAGAAAAATCAAAAGTCAAACCGATTATTTCAGTTAACTGAACTGATCGGTTTGGTATTTTAGAAAAATCGAAGGTACCAATTTGGTCGGTTAACCAGTATAAAAAAAAATGATAATTAATCGAACCAACCGGTATACATATATTTATATTTTATATATCTTTATGTATATTTATATTTTACCGATACCACTGGTCCAGTTTGGAAAAAAAGACCCACCATGAACACCCCTACCCCTACCCACTAATCTATTGTACCAAGTCATTTTCAATTCAATGAACAAGAATTATTGTTTGGTGTAATGGTAAAATCTTGAATTTGTAGGACCTTGTATAATTGGAGTCGAACATTTTTAGATTGATCAATACAAATTGTTTTGGATTGAGCTTGTAGGACCTTTAGTTAGAAATATTTTGGGTTGATTTTGGTGTGGTTGTTGTTTCTAACTAAACATTTTTTGGATTGATGGATGCAAATTGGCCATTCAGCATGAGTGATTAGACTTCACTTGGTGGAGCAAGGAACATCAACCTGACATTGCTACAAACTACATCCTACACACGTGAATTTTTAAGGTATGTCTTTTTGATTTCAGATTTCAGTTGAGTAATGATCTTTCAGTTGTATAGGAGACATATTTTTAGCTGATTTTCTCAAAGTCATACAATATTCAGTATATTGGGAGACACATTTGGTTGTTTTTGGTACCATGAAATATTTTGGATTGATCAATTCAAATTGGTGAAAGACGTGTGTTATCACATCGCATATGAGACTTCAGTTTGAATAATTTTATCCCATGGAACAAGAAATGTCAATTTGATATTGCTTCAAAGAGCCAACACATGCATTTTTATGGTATGCCATTTTGTATTAATCAACCCAAAATGTTCTGTGTAGTGGCACCAAATACAACCTTAATAATTATGGGGTAACATTTGATTCCAATCCAATTTGAGTATTAATTGGATCAAGCTTGGATCTAGGTTTGAACCAATTCATATTCAACCTATTGACAATCCTATTCATAAACACTATTGGCCTGTGGTAGTAACCATTAAGGTTGTGTTTGGTTTGAAGAAAAAAATAGGAAAACCTTTTTAAACCTTATATAGGGTTCCTTACCTTTCCCTTCCTTTTCCTACTTTTTCCTTCAAACCAAACATACCCTAAAGTTTGCTTCAGTTTGATAGCCCTCAGTTTTAATTACAATCCTAACAAAGGAGATTCAAATGCACTCTTAAAACTCTAAAACCCTAAGGGCTATAACCTGGGCCTGGCGCCTGCGTTCTGGGCCCAGGCTGGGCTTAATTCCAAGCTTATATAATATACTCCAAATGTGAGGTGAGGTTTAAATTATTTATCTTTTAACACGAGTAATTTTTAATTCATTTTATTCATGAAATACAATATTAAAATCATTTTATGTTTACTTTATTTATATACTGCAAACCAAATTCCATTAGAATATCAATACTCTTCTTGATGTTTCCATCAATACCCCACTGCGTACAAAATGTAAGTGTGGGCATATTAAATTAAACCAGCCATGATGTGTCTATATCAAATTAAATCACTCATGGTGGTGTGCCTATATCAAATTCAATCAACCTTGGTGTGATGTGCCCAACTCATTTTTTGGGTGAAAGTAAAATAAATGGGCAAGAGAATACCCTCTACGGAACAAAACTTTCCGTCATTACAATCAGATTTTTGAGATAGAAAATTTGTGTATAATAATTATAAGTAGGAATAATTTCAGAATATACATTTTGAAAGGTAAAGCTAATACTTTTGTTTAGGTTGTTTTTGGTTGTGGTACAAATTTTGTTTGCACTGGTGTAAAGGCATAGAAGTGCAAATAGGTTGAGTGTAAATTCTGGTTTACTTTAATTTAGATTTAATCTTGTCTTGTTTATTTGTGAAAAATAAAATAAGAAATAAATTGGTATGCTCCCACCTTATATGCAAGAAAATGGAGGTAGGAGGGTTATTTGTTTAGGAGTGGGGTGCGATTAGGAAGCATAATGGTGTGGCCCCCATTTTATTATATGCAAAATTTACACTGCTAGTGTGAGCAAAGGACACAAAAATTACAAACTTTGTATTAGGTAGGAATATGAATCATAGTTATAAACAAACAAATGTAAAACTGAATTGGGTGCAAAATTTGTATCAGGTTCAAGTTTTGCACTACAACCAAACACAGCCTTAAGGGCATAATATGGTTGAATGGTTTTGCCAGCCCAAAGAGAGTGAGTGACTTGGGTACTAAAAGATTTTTCCCCGGTCTTCTAAAATTTATGAATGTAAAAATAATAGAATAAAAGGTAGGTGTGTGTGTGTTATGTAATGTGATGCAAATAACAAAGATAAACAAATAAATAAACTATACAAAAAAATAAAGAACATGGAGATTTTATAAAGCTTTGGCCAAACCTAGGGCTTCCAGGTGCCCACTAGACCACACTAGACTTTCGAGTGCCAATAAAGGTTTAGTAAACAACTAGACTTCCATGTGTCAATAAAACCTTATAAACAATAGGGCTTTCAGGCATCCATTAGACCTTACATAATTGGACTTATGGGTGCCAATAAGATTTGAGCAGTCGAGCTTTCGAGTGTCAAGCAAACCTTAACATTTGGACTTATGGGTGCCAAGTAGACCTATAACGGTTTTCAATCTTAAACACATAGGCCCAAATGCAAATGCCTCTTAATAGGTTGATAGAAACATATACAATCAAATCTATATCAAATGCAAGAGTGTATGCACAAAACTATAGGCTCAAACGCTTGAAGAGATTTGAGAAATTTCAGTAAAAAACAAATAGGCCCAAAGGCTACTCAACTTTTCTCATTAGTATGAACTGATTAAGCTCAGAAATCTCTTCTTTCTCTAAAGACTCATGATCACAATGCTCTCTTTTTCCTCAACAGATTTTCATTGATCAAGTTCTTCATGTTTTCAATCCAGAACCACTAACTTATAGTGGTAGAGAGAAAGTGGCCATTATAGATCCATTGGGAAGGGACTAAACAATATTAGGAAAAGTTTAGAGCAAGTTCCTAACAAGATCGAAGACTTACTAGAAGAAAAAAATATTCATTAATGCCTTCAAACGGTCAGATGTTTTACTAAGTGATCAAATACTATGCGCAAGGAGAAATTTTTTTTCTCTACCAGCCAATTGCTAGCAATTTACTAATATCAAATATGAGACATAGTCGACTACTAGTATCAACTATGAGACATAGTCCACTATAGATTTTTTATAGTCAATTACTAAGTAGTGTCTAAGTAACACTAGCCTCAACTGTCACAGATAATTGACTATAACTTCATGGGAAATCAACTACTGGTAGCTCACAAGCTTAGAATAAGCTTTAAGATTTTAATTTCAAAGGTGTAGAAAATATTACCTTAGGTTTGTAACTTTAGATTTTCAATATTTAAATCTAATTAATATATAGTCCGAAAACACTTAAGAACTAAACCTAATTCTAACCATTAGTCTCTATGGTTAGGTCAACCAACTTTGGTCGCATTTATGCCCATAGAGTGCATCTCATGTAAACGATTTACATAAGTCCTAAACAAGACACACAATTAAAGGTATTGGAACTTGATGCTTCTTTGTTTTCTTCTCTTGATAGCAAATTTTTTTTTTTTTTTGAGAGTCACTTAGTTGATTGAAAGTTGCCTAATGCAATTCATTTCAAGCTTGATTTTTCATAGTAGTTTGTTAAATATCTTAGTTCAATTAGAGTTACTTGGAACAACTACACACTTAACACTATTCAACAGTACTCTCAATAAAACACATAAATCCAACAAGTATGAACCAAATTAATGAAGATATAGGGTTGGGTCGGGACAAGTGTCCTAGTCCCAAACTGATTATTAATCAAGATAAAATCATAAACCCAAAACCTCCTAATTAATGATCAAGTTTGACCCAATATACCAAATTATATTGATGGTTATAATTACTTTTTATAAATAATAACATAAACTTGATCTTTGATAATATAACCTTAATAAAAATGATATTAAAATAGCAAGTTATTTATATGCTAAATAATTTATATATGGTATTTCAAATTTACCATCTTAGACATAAAATGTAATAAAAATTACAAAAAAAAAGTAGGAATATTTTATATTAATAAGAAAATAGTCAAGCCGGGTTTGAAATAATTCTCAACAAGCAAGGACCAAAATCAACCCAATTATTAATTAGGACAAAATAACATAACCAAAACTGATATAATTGATTTGGTTCAGTTTAATTGATCGGGTAGAACCAATCCATTGATAACCTTATTTATATTCTTTCAGTTTTTAGGTTTTTTAATTGTGGCAAGTGAGAAAGAGTGAAAGAATAAAACAGTTCGGATGAGGTAGTCACAACGTTGTAAGCACGCTAAATGAGTAATTAGAAATTTTTTTGACACCTATCCCTTAAAATGCCTCCAGCCTACCTTTAAAAAAGATTAATACCCACTTTTGACATTTGTCAAAATATTTATCAAGTGCTCACTTAACGTGCTTACTTTGTTATGCCTACTAGATCGGGTCTCAAAAAAAAAAAGCAAATAATGATTCAGCATTTGAAAATATTCCACCAATTTGCTTATCATTAATAAATCTCTCTCTCTTTATATAGATATATATATCACTTCTATGGTCACCTAATCTTGTGGATATTATTGGACCACCAAAAGATAGAAAGCAATTGATCCAATGGTTAGCATCCTCTAGTATGTTGATTACTGTCTAATCGTTGATGCAAACCTATCTGATTTTTAAGTTAGCACCCAACAGTATTTAATCAACCACAGGTAGCCTTCATAATCCAGTGGTTTTAATCAGATCAAACTGATCAGTGGTGGTGGGTCAGTCTAACCTAGTCTGAACTAGGGAAATGATCTGGGTCATCATACTATCATAACTTCTCCTCTTACATAAGATTATTCAAAGTATTAGAGGATAAAGATAAGAGTGGGTCATCATACCATCAAACTGACCTGGTCTATATCAATACATATCAAACTCTATCATGATAAAACATAACAAATTCAACCATATCGTTATCCCAATTCCAAAAACAAAGTATATATGAATTTGAAACTTTGAATTTCAGCGGTTTAACAGGGTCGATTGATTGGTTTGAAGTTCATTTAAAAATCCATTTTTTTGTTAATCACATTGATGAATGGTGATTTGGCACGATCTAGTAAAAAGGGGATACATAGACGTGATCTACTCGAGGGGTGACAATTCAGCCAAACGAACCCGGTCCACAACATTTGGAGCTCGGATGTTCAACTATTTCAGCCCAAAAACCACCTCGACATAGAGACACCTCGACACCCAATCCAGTTTGGGACTAAAAAACCAAAGTACCAGTTCGGAGCTAAAGAGCCAAAACACCACATAATCGACTCGAAAAGCCTCCCCAATGGACTCTGAATTTCTCGGATCACGATGAGATTCATCCTATCTCCACCTGAATCGGAGGTAGACGATAAACCTTATCAACATATTGCTCTCCTTCAAAAACAGAACAGATCTTATCCGCACAGCCCAGAGACCCCGGAGCTCTTTCGTAAGGCCCACGACTATTCCATTATATAAGGACATAAAACCCCAAGGCAAATGTACGCATGATTATTTTACTCACTAGCATTCAAGCATTCAAGTATTAGCTCACATCCACAGTATAGTACTGATTTGAGTATCAGAGTGGCCTCATCGGGTTAGCTACCCCGGGTTCTCTGATCTATTATTTTACAAATTGGTCTAGCTCGCCATGCAACTAGAGTTCGGATCGTCTTCCGGTTAAGAATATCTAGATCGCGCACCATCACAGATGAACCACCCGGTCATGAACTCTTGTCCAGAATCCATGCATCCCTAGTGTATATAACACGGTTGCTCTATATAGCCCACCAAGTCATCATCATCGAAGTAGTAAAAGAAAGCACACTTTGATGTCTGAGCCGTTTGCTTCTATTTTAATCAATAGTTCGTGGCTGATACGGTCAAATTCCAGCTTCTCTCCCTGTCTCAGTCTACCACCAAAACCTCTCTCTCTCCTTTTACAAAACCAGTTCGATCGACTTCACAAATTTAAAAGCAAATGAAATCAGAGGCTCAGAGCCCAAGCATATCTCAAACTCTCTGGACATTTTTATTCTTGAAGTTGCCATCATATTGAAGTTTTCAGTTTTATTTCCTCGTGCTTGAGAGGTACAGTCAGGTGAAGTGGGGTTTATATTTGAACTCCCGATTGAACGGTGAAGTAAGTGAATAAGATTTTGATGGGTTTGTTTTGCTGAGAGAATCGGTTAGAGATGGGGATCTGTTGGTCGTATTGGGCTGTGTTTTGGTAGCACTAGCAATCAATATTGGAGGAGTCGGAAGATGTCACCTGCAAACTGCAACCGAAGTTCGCTCATCATCGACGGGCAGCGGAAGACAAGACTGTCTTCTCCGGTTGAATTCACTATCCTTGCAGCACTGATCAGGTACTCCACCACATTTCACATCTCTCTCTCTCTCAATATTTATTTAAATAATCAATATCTAAAGAGTGTCTTGGGTGAGTTAAAACTTGTTAGGTTATAACTTATATTAGAAGGAAGCAAGTCATCAGCCACCGCTGTGCAATTGTTTTCAGTGGGTAAGATATGGTTTTCTGTAGAAAAAAACCTCAAGTTCGATGCTGCTTAATCTTGATCATTTAATCCATTTTTATTTTATAAAAATCTTGTTTGTTTATTGAGGTTTGAGTTTGACTCATCTAGATATTTGTTTTTTCCATGCATGCATTTCTGACCGTCAAAATTAAAGGATGGCCTGCTGGGCTGATCTATTGCCCCTCAAAGTTATAGACTGGGTAAATATGAATAATTTGAGGTATGGATGGAATTGCCAATTTTGCCAATCTCCAAATTCCATCATTTGGGTGCATTTGTTGGTGTCTTGAAATTTGATAAGACACGGAATAGGTTTGGCCTTTGAATCATGCTAAGATTAAGGGTGATCATTTCATTTCTACGGAATTTAGTGAGGAACACAAACCAATTCATCCAATTATAATTATAGTTCTTCTTTCTACCCCAAAAGAATATAATTCTTATGTGGCAAGAATCGCTCTATTCACTGATTCTTCAATGATTTTTGGTAATGGGCATAACTAAGACCATCTTCTGGATCAAACGGTTAACTCTTTGTTATTCACTTACACAGTAGCATCTTGTTTGATGGCTGGCAATTTAGGGGTGGAAGTTGGGTTGGGTTGGGTTGTGTTGAGGTCAATCTTAACCCAATTCAAAGTTGGTGAACCCGGCCCCAATCTCCAATCCTAACCCTAACTCAACTCAATGATTTTGTTTTGGCCGGGTTTTCCTAGGCTTCAACCCTAGTTAATCCAATCCCAGGTTAAGTCTGGTTCATATGTTTCTACCTCAACTCTAATCTGATTCAAGCCGACGTTTTCATGCGGGGTTCAGTCCAACCTGGCCCAAGTAGGGTTGTCAATGTATTCCATATGTATGAAACCCGTTTTGACATCTGATCTGATTATTTTGGAATTTGGATTCTAATGATCTATTCACATAATTGAATTGGATTTGGATTTTGTAATTAAATTTTTATTTAAAAATTGAAGCAAATTCTAATTAAATCCGATTCTGTTCCAAGTCTAATAGATTTTCAATCTGATCCCACCTGATCAGATTATAATTGTTGTTTTTATTAGTCGGGTCAGATTTGAATGTTGCTTGATTCGATCCGAATACAGCCGTAGCCCAAGTTGGAGTCCTTGGGGATGGGGGATCACAAGGTGTTGTTGGGACAAAACACCACGACCTTCATTAATGAATCTTCCTGGCTCCACCCTGGCCATTGTTGAGTGAAATAATTAATTCAGTTCATTTGTTAAATTAACTGACAACATTAATTTATAAAGTTCTGCAATTAAAAGCATTACCAGGTATTATTTTAGTGTTTTACTTTCACTTGGACTGTTGGTGTCTTTTTCTCTTTTGTTGTGATGCTTGATTTTTTTTCTTAAATGGATATTTGGACGTTTGAGCAGCTTGAGCTTGATTAAAGAGGTTACTATGTTTTGTTTTGTAGATGGCCTGGTTCTTGACTTATTTTCAATGTCATAAATATTTAAAGGGTGGATTTCTAAAACCTCCCTTAAAGGTTTGGACCATTGCTGAAAGTTTATAATTATAATTATCTCCCTTGAATTTTTTTGATATCATTGCAAGTATATCGCCTTTAATACTCTAATAAATACAAAAATATCCAAAATACTCATATAGTTATTTGAGCAAAATTTTATTTTCTAAATTTTTTCTTCATATCAATTGCTACCCCAAGCCTTTGCCGTTTCTTTTTCCAAAATTGATTTATTTTTCAAATTTGCCCTTCATATTAATGGCTCAAAGATAAAACTGCAACTTTAAACTCTCTTTTCTTTTTTTTTTCTTTTGTATATATTTGATTCCGTGGGCATTTATGGATGGACCATTTATTTCTTTAAATGTATTTGTACAACTTTATTTTAGGGTAAAATACAAAAACCTACCCTCAAGTTTCTGACAATAATAAAATCTTCCCTTTAGTTTTATTTTAACAAATACCTCCCCTAAACTTTTAAAAAAGTCAATAAAAACCTCCCTTCTGTTACTGACCCGACAGAAAATTATAAAATTATGAAATTACCCTTGTTAATGTCAGAGCATTTTTTGCATTGGACCCTTCGGAATTACAGATCAACGTCACTCATCCAGGGAATTACAGATTGACCACGTGTATGGTCACAATCACAGTAGTGTTATAATAGTCTCCAATATTTTTTACTAAGCCCAAGCATAGGCTCCTCCTCCTCCTCCGATAACCGAAGCAACTAATCTTCAACAGTATCCACTTCTCTGCAAATGTTCGTTGATGAACTCCCACAAATAACAAAGCTCTACGGTTATTCCATGCTATATCGCCTTTCCATTCCTTCAAGTCTCACCATCGACATGTATCAAAAGAAATGGGTACTAATTCACAATACTCCCTCTTGCTTCTTTGTCATGTTTGATGAACTTTCTCCACTTTACTACAGAAGTTCCATTGTGACTTGCCTCCAACGTATGGGACCTCCTAAATGCCCGCTACTACTCCCGGTCCCACAATTGAGACACTCTGAAGAGTACCAACTTATGTGATGTGGCAAAATCATCTCCCTCAAAATCACATACTCCCATGGGATCGAACCGTCCCCACTGCCTTTCCCAAGAACGGTGGCGTTTCCACTGTCGTCCATCTCCACGGCGGTGTCCAGGAGCCACAAAGTGATGGCAACACCTTTGCCTAGTTCACCTCCAACTTCAGACACACTGGACCCGCCTCGTCTTAGCAGACTTAGACACATACCCCAACGTCCAACACTCCGGGAACCTGATCATGAGCTTGTCTCTGCAATGACAGATGAGCTTCAAGAAAGCATCATTATCTTCCCGAATTATAGAAGAATAAATCGAAGAAATGCCAAGTGGGGAAGCTAAAGAGAAAGAATGGAAGATATGTGTGACATCTAATCGCATGATGAGACCAGATTGATATATACTTTTGATAAACAAGTGAAGCTTGTCATTTGTAATGTCCTCCGTGATATGAGTGACAACAAGGTCACTCATTACTCTGGTTCCTCTCCTAAACAGAGTTTTCATTCCTTGCAGAGCAACCGAAGAATCCCAAACCCCAACTTTCGTTGCTGCTCTTGGCCTTGGTAGAGATGCTGCCAATACCCAGGTTAGAATGGGTATTTGAAAAAAAAAAATGATGCATCAATTAAATGTTTTCTGTCTAAGTTAGTGATAGAAGGGAGGTGTTTGTTGATTTTTTTTAAATTTCAGGGGATGTATGTTAAAATGAAATTAAAGGAGAGGTTTTTGGATTTTACCCTTTATTTTAAACATTTTTCACTTTAAGATTCGCATTTTTTCAATAAAAGTCCACAGAACTAAACATCCTCTTTATTGTTCATAAAGTTTATACTTTTTTATTGTAGAAACCAAATTCAATAATAAATGTATGGATATTTTGGGCATTTCCATATTTCTTATTTAATGGATTTTAATAAAGGGAGTCTAATTGCAACTATATCAAAAAGTTCATAGAAGATATTGCAATTACCAAATTTAAAAGAAGGTTTCAACAATAGTGAAAATTTTCAAGGGAGGTTTGAGCAATTTAATTACCCATATTTCAAGTTGCTTGATCTTGTAATGAATTAGGTAACTATGGATCTGATGCATAATTTAATTTTAGTAACTATGGATCCTTTTTTTATTAATGCATCCTAGTCATCAGGCTCTGATTGTTTGTCGTGCCAATCTGAATCAAATACAAATTCTGCTATCTAGTTTTTTTATTAATGCATCCTAGTCATCAGGCTCTGATCATCTGTTAATTTGTTTATAATTATGATTTGTGCTTTTATCTGATACAAAGTTTGTACTCTTTGTCTCTCATTTTGCACTTTTTGGCTGTGCAAGTTTTGCATCTTAAAAATACAAAATTTGCACCACCTTCCTCCTGCCTTAATTGTCTCTCATACAAAGTGGAGACTAACTATCATCTTGCTTCCTACCCCACCCCAAACAAACCTCTCTTCTACTTCCTACTTCCATTAATCTTAATTTATATGGTGTGGGGAAAACATCATTTTACTTCTCACAAACAAATAAGACAAAGGGGACATTTGGTATCATGGCCGTTTTTACTTGAAATTTTGCCACATCTTAGCACCTAGGTTTTTTGAGTTTAATGCCCAATTTTCTGTTCTGAGTTAAAACAGTGATAAAATGTCTCTACTAGAAACATAAATCAGGGGTGTCTTAAAAAATATCAATTTGGTGTTGGGTTCAACCATGGTTTTTAAAACTGACCTGGTGACCGAACCGGTTAGGGGTCCGGTTATCGGATCAAACGGTTCGAATGATAAACCGGCTGGTTCAGCGGTTTGCTGATCAAAATCAATGGTTTTAGGGAAAAACGATTAATTCCCAATTTTTCTAGTTCGACCGTCCAATCCAATCCAATTTTGAAAACCATGAATTCAACTATGATATCGGAAAGATATGATATTCAAAAAACTTCTGACGAATCAACTGAAATTATAAATACCATAGCCAATCAGATGTTAATTATCAAATTTCATAAACGGGTTTTAATTGATCAAAACTCTTCCGATATCATGCCTTTCCCGCATCACAGACTGATGCAGTGCTGACATAGATGAAAAACACATATCTCACTTCTCAGTTCTCACCAAACAGGATTTAAGTACAAATAATAGAATTTACACTCAACCAATTTTCGTTCCCATGTATATATACCGATGCAAATGAAATTTGCACCGCAAACAAAGTGAACCTATTAAAACACTTAATAAACTATGTTAATTTCAGTTCGAAATACACTGGAATCTGAAGTCACGCAATGCCCCTGGTTGCACCAGATCCATAATGGTATCGGAAGCTCCGCAATTATATATGGGTTTGACTAACCCTATGGTTATTGTTCATTCATCGAGAATGCACCATACAATATTGAAGTCATCTTTATTCTTTACTTATGCCTATTGCCTATGGTTTCTTCGGGTTTACGTCTATCTACCATCCTAAAATAGTAATTTCATGTCTCTAACTCTCTCTCTCTCTCTTGCACGTGCCACCCAGTCAGTCCGGGTCAGAGTTGACCCATAAGTCATAACCTGAACCAAATCTTAGAGTTGAAGTTTTTCGGCAATAAATTTTGTGTAGTTAGTAAGCAGGTTGTGGACTAATGGCTTAAGGGCGAAGCTGAAGTTGGGTTTAAAATATTTCATTGTTTAATTGTTTTATTAGAAACTACCCATTTAGCTCTTCAATTTCAGCAGTTGTCCAGCAGAATTCGAGGAGAAAATGTTCAAGATCTAGTCAAATGATCAGTCAGTGCGGTGTGGTGGGTCAGTCAGACCGGTTGGATTTCAGAACCGGGAAGTACCCAGGTTTTAAAAGTTCAGTTTAGTCTGATCAACTTGGTTTGACTCGGCATTCAATGGTTATAGCCGGTCTAACCCCATAAAAATAAAGTTGACATATGCATCACTAGTTCACTACTCATCAACTGCCATCCTTTTCTGTCAATTCTTCTCTAACTTCCTAAAACTAGCCCCTAGCTCTAAGCCTTTCCTATCTTTACTTTTTTAATGAGAGGTAGAACCTTTTCATTGCCTTATATAAACTAATTTATGTCTCATATCATCAAATTCTCCCAAATTGGTAAGCTCCATAAATCTGTACATCTTTCTTCTACTGGAAAATTCCATTAGTTTATTCTCATACATTACAAAGTGATATAAAGAAAGCCAGTTGTATGTGTTTCTTTCATGCTTTAGAGCTGAGTTGAGGCAATGAGGTCAGATTTGTATATAAATTGAGATCAAAGGAGAGAAATGGCGAGCAAGAAGTTGAGGATTTTGGCTTGCCAAGAGAGTTAGTTTGGCTTTGGGTTAGACATGGTCTGGTGGTTATCTTGGGTGGTGGTGGCAGCAGTGGTGATTGGAGGCGGCAGCGTCCGAGGAGGGGATGTTACCTACGATGGGAGATCGCTCATCATCGACGGGCAACGGAAGATTCTCTTCTCCGGCTCGATTCATTATCCTCGTAGCACTCCTAAGGTACTCCATCAGTGCACAAGTTTCTCTTCCTCTTGTGTATGGAATTTATCGGTCACCCATTCATTTAAAATCTAGAGAAGAAATAAATCACCAAAATTTCATTGTTCTGGGTAGGTAAGATATGGGTGGTTCTCGGGAGAAGGTCACACTTAGTTGTATGCATTCTTAGCATCATTTGTTTCCTTCATTTCCTTCCTACAAACTTTTCTTCAGATGTGGCCATCTTTGATATCTAAAGCCAAGGAGGGAGGACTGGACGTGATACAAACCTATGTGTTCTGGAACCAACATGAGCCTCAACCAGGCCAGGTTCTCTCTCTCTCTCTCTCTCTCTCTCATTTATGCCATTAATGGTGTATTCTGTGTAACAGTATTATTTCCAAGGAAGATATGATCTGGTGAGGTTCATCAAGGAAATCCAAGCACGAGGACTCTATGTAACCCTCAGGATCGGACCGTTCATAGAAGCTGAATGGACTTATGGGTATATTAATACTGATCTTAGATTTCTAGTCTTTGTGTTGTGATTTATATAAATACTTTAAAGTTCATGGGTTTCACTTACATTGGGACCCACAATAAATGGGCCCATTCAGCCAATTCCAATATTTTCCTTCTGGGCCGAATTTAAGAAGCCCAATTTCGATTCAGATCGGTTGGGTTGAGATGAGAATTGAGAATAAAATGGAAAATTGACTGGTCGGGCCAAGAATGGTTCGACGGCAAACCGGTTCTTTCCCCGGTTGGTAAACATTAACTATTTAGCCATTAATATAAAATGGAAAGGATAACTGGAATTGTTATGGTGATGCAGGGGGCTACCTTTCTGGCTGCATGACATCCCAGGAATCGTCTATCGATCCGATAATGAACCCTTCAAGGTATTATGTTCTGTATCCAATTCCCAGGTTGAGCTGGAACTGAAGATGCCCAACCTGAACCGGGCTGAAACTGGTCCAGGATTTGCCGAACCCAATTGTCCATATTAATAGACCGGTTCACCCCGATCCATGTGATATTACGTATATTGTGGTGGTACATAAAATGAACACTTTGATTCACGTATGCTCATTCATGTGTACAGTATTACATGCAAAATTTTACAACCAAGATAGTAGAATTGATGAAATCAGAGAAGCTGTATGCTTCACAGGGAGGCCCAATCATACTATCACAGGTAATTAAGCCCAAGATAGATAACACTTTTGGCTCCTTCTTCTTCTTCTTCTTCTTCTTCTTCTTCTTCTTCTTCTTCTTCCATGATTTAAGGTTGGTTTTTTGTGTAGATTGAGAATGAATACAGAAATGTTGAAAGAGCTTTTCATGAGAAAGGGCCACCTTATGTTCTTTGGGCTGCGAAAATGGCGGTCGGGCTCCAAACTGGTGTTCCATGGGTGATGTGCAAGCAAGACGATGCCCCTGATCCAGTGGTCTTAGTGCTCCAGTTTCTTCAACCAAAATTCTTAGTTTTATTACAAGTCTCTTAGTCTTAGCTAGGATTAATTCCACCCATGGCTTTTCTTCTTTGAAGTATTTTTTGATGGTTTTTGCCTTTTGGTTGGCTTTAAATTCTTTCTAGTTAACTTCATTATTGTGTGCAGATCAATTCATGCAATGGGATGAGGTGTGGAGAAACATTTGCAGGACCAAATTCCCCTAATAAGCCATCAATATGGACAGAGAATTGGACATCTTTGTAAGTTTTCACCTATTCAGTATTCAATCTGTTAGCATGTTCTTTGAGGATCATGTTTCTAGTCTAAGCATGAAAATTATTCTTTGTTAAGAGTCCGGCTATGATATAGAAAAGGTATGATACCTAAAAAACTGATAACCAACCAATCGGTCTCATAGAAGTGAAGGTAACCAATTGGGGTGGGGGGAGGGGGGGTTCTTCGGGTATCATACCCTTCCGGCATCATAGAAAGTGCCCTTTGTTAATGCTCTTATTGCAAATAAAATTGGGTGCTCGTATGCTTTAGACCCAACTAACAGTCTCTTTTCTTCCCCACCCCCACCCAAATAAAAATGAAGCTATCAAGTATTTGGTGGAGAACCATACATAAGGTCTGCTGAAGACATTGCTTTTCATGTTGCACTTTTTGTTGCTGCAAAGAAGGGAAGCTATGTAAATTATTACATGGTATGTCATTTTTAATCTTAACAAGCAAGTTTTTTTTTTTTTTACTTTGTTTCTATCAATACTTTCAAGGGATTTATGATCTCTAAGGCTGTGTTTGGTTTGAAGGAAAAAGTAGGGAAAGAAAGGGAAATGTAGGAAAACATTTACAAACCTTATATAGATTTCCCTATGTTCCCTTCCTTTCCCTATCTTTTCCTTCAAATCAAACATAACGTAAATAGAACAGCAATGGAGTTCTGGTTGGAAAATTCCCAACCCAATTTTGAGACACCAGGTCAGACTAGAAATTGTTCAGTCTGAACCTTGTTTCTAATATGGAAGATGGGCCAAGATCTACCATGCTTTATGCTCGTTTAACTTCAACATGATTTTGCACTGGTACAAGATACTCAATGTAGATAGTTTAATTTAGTTTAGTTTGACTTATTTTTTGCAAATATGAATGTATCTAACAATGCAACTACTCTGAATAAGTGAATATAGTATCATGGAGGAACAAATTTTGGGAGAGTAAGCTCTGCTTATGCAACAACAAGTTATTATGATCAAGCTCCTCTTGATGAGTATGGTGGGTGACTTACATTTCTGATCTTATCACATTATTTGTATATATTCTTTAAATAAATTTGAATTTTTCTTTGATTACCATAAAAACAAAGAAAAGAGAGAAGGAAAAGGGGGAAGACTTAATTTTCTTGGAACCTGTAGGTTTGACTAGGCAACCAAAATGGGGTCATCTCAAGGAATTGCATGCAGCAATAAAGCTGTGCTCTGAACAATTGCTCACGGGAACATACAATAACTTCTCATTAGGCCAACTACAAGAGGTAAGAACTTAGGTAGAGAGCCCTGTGATCTCCTATTATATCTCTTAATTTTCTTTTTTGTGAATGGATGATAACAACTGTTAATTTCTTCCTTGCAGGCTCATGTTTTCCAAGGAAAATCAGGAGGTTGTGCTGCTTTTCTTGTAAACAATGATATAAGAAATACTTCTACAGTGTACTTCCAAAATTCATCATTTGTACTTCCTCAAAAATCAATTAGTATTCTACCAGATTGCAAGAATGTAATCTTTAACACAGCAAAGGTTCTCTCTCTCTCTCTCCATCCCTCCCTCCCTCCAATATATAATTAAATAGTATAGTATAGATAACTACACTTCCTTTATGATTTAATGCTGAATCATCAAAATAAGTCTAACATAAGTTTAGCTTTTCTATTGGAGATTTTAAAAATAAGCTTCAATTTATTTTATATTAAGTATTAACAATAAAATTATAGGGAGAGTTTGAAATTTTGGACAAGGTTTTAGGAGGGAAATAAAATTTCTTTAATTAATTACTTGGTTTACTTGTCTTACCAATTGCATTAAAAACAGATATTTCACTAAATAAGTTTTGAATAACTATCTTTAATTGGAGAGATGTTGAAAATTGGTCTTCAACTTGTTCGCTACAAGTGTAAATAATTAAACTAGATTGGAAAACTTGTAATTATTGGAAAAGTTTATCTGAGAGAAAGAAAGAAGTTTGCTCGTAGTTGTATTTATATCTGTAATGTCATTTTTTTTTCCTTCATTATGCCTGCAGGTAAGCTCACAGTATAGTGCAAGATCAACATGGTTAAACCAAAAGTTGGAGTCATCTGAGCAATGGAAAGAATTTAGTGAGGTTATCCCTAACTTTTCAGACACATCTGAGAAAGAAACTACATTGTTAGAACACATGGGTACAACCAAAGATGCATCTGATTATCTATGGTACACTTTCAGGTAAGTCAAAAAGATCATTTAAGTAGTCTTACAGAAAAATGTCAAGAATTGCTTTCTATCCATGCTACTCGCTACATAGAGTGAAATAAACCTCCTACTTCTCTATTGAAGCCCAATTCATATTTGGCAACTTTTTCATAGTTTAACCACACAGAGAAGAAACTTAAAACTAGAAAATGAGTGTAGTTGAGTATATTCAGTGCCAACTGAATTAGGCCTAACTGGAATAAACCTAGGGAGAATGACGGTTCATCCCAGGGTCAGAATTTGTAGGCATAAAGTACTGTTGGGGTAGGTGCCAGATCGGAATTGATGCCAATTCACGGACGGACATTGGTGCATAGAGTGTGGGTTGTTGACATTTTGAATGTTTATAGCTCTGCAGCGGAAATCAGAAATCTGCATTGGGCCTGTCCGTACTTTTCCGATAAACCTACAGCCAAGGCCTGGTCCATCTGGAAATCCAGGGAGGTATATAGACTGGGCATAGCACTAAAGGTCCTTAGGCCAAGCCAAAATCAAGTGGGCTAGCCCATGCTTGAAATTGCCACCCCTACTCTCTCCCCCCTATTTCATATGTGGTGGATTGAAAATGCTCCCACTATTCTGTATTACAAATTTGAAAGACTAATAATATATTGATTAGTGATATTTGCTTACTAATTCCAGTCTTTAATGTAATAATTAATGCAGCTTTCAGCAGAACTCCTCTGCTAAAGGGAATATGCTTCAAGTTTACTCCCTTGGACATGTTATTCATGCTTTTGTCAATAGAATATATGCGGGTAAGTATTAAAAACTTCTAGTCGCTTTTCACTACAAAAAACAAAAAAAAAAAAAACTGAAAATTTAATTTCACTGTTATTGGATACATACTATAAGTCGAGACTTCAAATGTCAAAAATATATGGAAATGTTTTCTAATTATTTTATAGGCCAAAATATATAGTTTAATGCATCTTTGTTGTGATTTGGAATGAATGGATTTATGCATCTAATCAATTGTTTTGGTTTGGAAAACTGATTTAAATAACCACTAAATAGAATTCCACAAAGCCATGCTCACAGTACATCTTCAAGGCAGTAGATGATTTTTTTTTCTATTCTCTAGGATCTGCACATGGAAGCCATGAAAATCCAGGATCTAGCCTTAATATTTCAATCTCATTGAATTATGGGGTCAACAATATTTCACTACTAAGTGTCATGGTTGGATTACCAGTAATCTCTCTCTCCCCCCTTTTTATTACTTCACCAAATTTAAATATATGTGATTATTTTTTTTATTTTAATGCCAATTTTCAGTAATTAGCATTCAGTTAATTACTTGTATTCATCCTATTAAGGATTCAGGAGCATATCTTGAGCGTAGAGTTGCTGGGTTGCGTCGGGTAAGAATTCAAGGCACTGGAAAATGGCTTCAAGATTTCTCCAAGTATCAGTGGGGATACCAGGTCTTTTCTTCAACCTATAAATAGGAGTGTTTTAATACAATGGAGAAGGTCTTTGTACTAAAATGTACACTTCTCTATGTTGCAGTCAAGGTTTTCAATTCAGCCAAAATTTTATGTAATTTCGAAAAAAAATGCAGTATCATATAGGGTGGATGAAATTGAAATAACTGTATTCTAGTATAAAAAATATTTTATGAAAATTTGGGGGGTTTGTAAAATTTTACATGAATATAATACATTTATATGAAAACTAGCCAAAAACAATATTTAATTCTATGATATATCTAATATTATTTATTCCAAATGAAGTTTTGAAAGCTTTCATTTCTTTCAGGTAATATGAAGTATTGATATTTCAGTAATATTTGGAAACCTTGGTAGAAAGCTTTCCCATGCATGAAACAATCAGCAAGGTTGCAACTTTCTATAGAATATTGTTGTCTTAAAGAAGGAAAAAGCAAATGCACAATTTTTTTTTTATTTTCCAATGCTCATGTTTCCAAATTTAATGTCATACAGGTAGGACTATCTGGGGAAAAGCTTAAAACATATGGAGACCAAGGATTGGCTAAAATTCAATGGAACAATCTCACAATCTCCCATCAACAACCTCTTACATGGTATAAGGTATATGGTATGATTTATGAATTTAAATCTAACTGTTGTATTTTAATTATCCATCATAGAAAAGTACTGGATGAAAATACCATAATCATGTTTGCTAATATAGGTTTACTAGTGAATACTTTAATGGAGAGCTTTCAAAAATCCCTATTGATGAAAAGTTTTGGGTAGATTTTACTTTCTGCTAAAACCCATTTTCTGAGAATTTTATTAATTGTAACCAGTTTTAATTTCATTCAAAAAATTGACAGACAACATTTGATGCACCAATTGGAAATGACCCAGTTGTTTTAAACCTGAGCTCAATGGGGAAAGGCGAAGCTTGGGTTAATGGCCAAAGCATTGGCCGTTATTGGGTCTCATTTTACCCAGACAAAGCAGACCCTTCACAGACATTGTAAGTTGTAGCTCTGGACTTGCTTTTTAGATATTTATTTTGGATTTTTTTTCTATTTTCCCTAGTCTGTAATAATTTTTTCCTCCACCACTAAGGTTCCATCTCTCATTCCTCAGGTACCATGTGCCTCGATCATTTATCAAGAATTCAGGGAACCTCCTGGTCCTATTTGAAGAATTTGGTGGGAACCCTCTGAAGGTCACATTGGAGACTATTACAATCTCTAAAGTATGTGGACACGTGTTGGAATCCCATTTGCCACCGGTGGTTTCATGGTTAGGTAGACAGAATCAAACACACCCTCGAAGGAAACCAAAAGTTCAACTTGAATGTCCTCATGGAAGGACCATTTCAAAAATTCTATTTGCAAGCTTTGGAAACCCTTCTGGTGATTGTAAAAGCTATGCTTTTGGAAGGTGTCACTCCTCTAATTCCAGAGCAGTTGTTGAGAAGGTGATCTCTCTCTCTCTTCCAAATTTGGAATAATTTCTTTTGATAACCTTTTGCTTAGCATTTGATATAAAAATCTTATGGGGTTTTCACCAATATGTATATTCTTTTTTTTGCACTAAAAGAAACAAAATCATACATATTAGAGATTACCCCCCTAACCTTTTCTTTTGATTTTAATTTATGATTTCACTCAATTTCCTCAATGATGTCTATTACTATTTGTAGAATTTGTTTCTTTAGAAACCCAGTTTTAATTTATGTTATTATTTCTTCAGTAGCTTCCAATTGTTTTTTCTTAAATAAAAGATATAATCCATGGTTTTTTTGCTACTCCATGTTTTTCAGGCTTGTTTAGGAAAGAGGCACTGCTCTCTTCCTCTATCAACGAAAAGATTTGGTGGGGATCCATGTTCAGACACTCCAAAAGCTCTGTTGGTGGATGCAGAATGTAGATGAAATTGACTCTAAATGGTCTTATTATCATAATACATTACAAATGGGTATTCAATCAGAAAAAAGAGAACATTTTTAATGATATAGCAAGTATTTTTGTTTTAAAAAACAGAATCATGCCTATTGCCAAACACCCCCCTTAATGTTTAACCGGAGGAAACACCTGAGATGGACATGAAAGCTAAGTAGATCTCCAGCCAACCTTTTTCACTCATGAAATCACACAGTTTTGGAGCAACCATTTTTATTTTTATTTTCTCAAAATTTACTTTTTGTGCATATATAGGATGTCAACAAATAACCATTCCAAATTTACTAAAAAAATCCCCCAAAATGATGGGTTGGTTCCCCTCATTTACAGTATAAATCTATAAGTTTCTAAAAGTGATGCAATTCCAAACACAAAATCAATTATAATTGCTTTCATTTTAGGCCTATCAAAATAAGAACATACAAAAGCTTACATTTAAATCATTGAACTAAGGGACCATTTGATGACTGGTAATTGGCGAAACTGAATTCCTCATTGGTTCGTTATCCACTTATGACTTATCCTATGCGACGCTTGACCTGCCAACTGAAGTTAAGTTGGAACTCAAATCTATTTGGATTTGCTTTTGCTCAACAAGGTGCTTTACACCATAGCAGCTAATCAGATCAATTTGGCATTGGTAAACCATTTCTTTAGTTTAAGTAAATAAGCAAAAATGATTAGCTTAGTAAGAATGTCGTAGAAAATCACTTTTTAACAATGTTTTGGAACCTCCATTGACCTGGATGGTCGGACTGTTTGGCCCGGGAATCGTTCAGACAACTGGTTTTGTTTCACCCTAAACCCAGTCCCTGACCAAAAATCGTTGAATTGGTCAATGACCCGTCAACTCAGGCTGCCAAACTATCTGCCCATCTGACCCATTCAACGGTTTTTAGCCTTTTATTTTAATTATTTTTTAATTTTTTATTAAAACAGACTGTCCGTTCAAACTGGACAGTCAAACCATCAAACGGTGATCAGAACGGTTCCAGTTCCGGGTCATTTTTTAAAACATTATTTTTTAATATGGGGATCCATATACAGTGTATTGTCATTCATGGGAGGTGTTCCTTATGCATGGCTGTCATGTCTTGTGGGTAGGTGTGGTAGCAGATCCTTAGTGGAATTTTTGGAAAGGTCGCAAATACACTAAAATAAAAAGCAGTGTAGGCCTCTGACCATTAAAAGAAATAAGATGTTTTGGTAGCCAGTTAGGCAATTAGTCATGAGGATTAAGAAAAGCAGTGTGATATTTAACCAAATGCCTTCATTATATATAAGCTACATTTGTTGTGATGAAGTGGTGGAAGACAATTTACAGGATGTTTGACAATAGAATTCGCATTGACACCCCACAGAGTGTGCCCCACATTATATTCCAATCATGGGAACATCTCCCCATGACAAGTATGGGAAATGTTCTCAATGCACGTTAAGATGTGCATATGGGGTACTAATCTGAACTCTTTACAGCATAGTTGATTTTGATTTTGGAAACAAAAAACAATTGTCATATCAATAAAATTATATTATTTTGCTGATGTGGTAGATGTTTTTTGTTTTCAAAAACAAAACCAACCATGTTCTCAAACATCCCCCTTAAATACTAGAGAATTTCATTGTATTTCACCCCCATTTTATAACAAAAAAAAACATTGTTTTCGCCCTTTACAAACTGAACCATAAACACCTTAGACTTTTTTTTTTCTTTTTTGTTTTTTGTTTTGGGGGGATGGGGGGTGGGGGGGGGGGGGGACATATACACACCTTAGGCTTAGGAGAGAAAAAGGAGAAGATCAAAGACACAAAGATAATGCAAAAGTAAATCAACCAAAGCAACTTGCTTACTTTGTTTAGGATGCAAAAGAACTTGATAATCAAGCATAATATAGATTTACATTTTTACAAACCAACCCCAATCACGCAATCAACCAAAGGGGTTACATGTTTTAGAAGATGCCCCAAATAACTTGTTGATTTTTAAAGTAAAATAGTTTGTTGATTGGGGTATTCCTTAAATTCAATCACCTTACCCAAGTGTTAAACATTTGGCTTAGTTTGGAAGAAGTACAAATACAAATACAAATATGGAGAGTGCAAAACCTTATATTTTGTATTATTTTATATATATTTGTATTTGTACTCTTTCCAAATTGAGTCATTGTTGCAATCATAGTCGCAACACTCCCTTGCGACCCCCAATGGAACATAAACACATCAGCATTGCTTATATAATGTTTTGAATTTACTTCCATCCCTGAACTGTTGATGTTTCATTGGGGGATTACAATGGAGTGCAGCAATCAATGGTAAGAAGAGAAAGAAAAAGGAGTGCTTCAGTCATTGTCTTAGAATATGTGAACTCTTACCCAAGTACTCTATGTTGTTCATGGCTAGTATATAGACCCATTCATGGGCTCAAACTTTGGGCCATGCCCATTAAAATTTTGGCAAAAGCCAACCCCAACCCCAGCCCACGAATAGGTCTACTAGCATGTTACCTATAAACATAGTTCTATTTTCTTTTTTTTTTGGTAAAAGATGAGACTTCATTAATTCATAAAATCATGGTGGATACATAGCGTTGAAGTCTTGTTAGAATGCTTTGCCAAGGTTTGTTTGTAGATTGTTAACATTCCTCCTGAAAATAATGTTAGCAACTTCATGCGCTAAATTGTTAGCTAATTTGGTGACGTGAGAGAATTTCGGACTTCTAAAACGGGAGGCCTTGCACTTTATGCCTTCCAGAATGCTTTGCCAAGGTAGGATTGGCCTAGAATGATTTGTTTGTAGATAATCCACCGCTACTTTAGAATCAGACTCCAGCTCAAGGCTTGGGAGATTTAGATTCTGTGCTTCTTTAGCTCCTAAACGTAATGCCAGAGCCTCTTTAGTGATGACTGAGTCACAGGTTGCTTGTTTACTTTTTGCTTTGAGTAACTTTCCTTCATGATCTCAAACAACACAATATAAACTCACAATGTGAGATTTCTGGTCAAAGCCTACATCACAATTCACTTTGAAACCATCCCTTAGAGGGGTATGTCCATCTGCTAAAGCCTTGGGTCTAAAGCAATTATTAGTGGGAGCAAGAGTGGATTTAGGGAAGAGTTCCCCAGAAGCCTTAAACTCTAAAATATCACTACCATCGGGTGTCCCTATTCATCTCTACAAATTTCATTGCTTCCAGCCTTCCATATGTTCCAACAAATAATAGCAATAAGAGAACAATATTTCTCTTTATCGTCTTTCATGAATTTTGAACCTTGGAACCAAGTTGTTGCCCACTCTGAGAAAGGTCTGCTACTCACCATGGATGAACAGAAAGTGAAAGGACTACTAAGCCAAACCGCCCTCACAAAATGACAATTCATTAGCATGTGCACGAGATTTTTTGGCTCATCTTCACATCTATGGCAGTAGGGAGAACAATTGATGTTCCTTGCTCTTAAATTAACTTTTACAGCTATAGAATTTACACTATGTTTCCAAGTGAATTTCTAAATTTTGGCAGGCACCTTTAATTTCCAAAGTTGCATATCATTTGGAGAGGACTTCTATTAGGCCTTCTTCCTCATTTATCTTCTTTAGTCTTCCATACTAGATGGTACGCAGATTTCATTGTGAAATTTCCATCCTTAGTCCAATAGATGCTATCATCACATTTCCTACAACTAAGAGGAATTTCTGAAATGGCCAACACTTCATTAGCTAAAAAGAGTCTTTGCAGCCTTCCAATATTCCATCTAGGAGGATTTTGAATAATGACTTAGTTCACTGTGTTGGTGTTGCACTGGCTAGGCTTTGTTGTCTGGATTCTGCCTTATGGTAGTAGATGGACCCAATTATCATTCCATATGTTTACTTTTCCATATCCAACTTGCCAAAATAGGCCTTGTCTTACTAGATCCATTCCAAAGCATAAGCTCTTCCATGCCCATGAGTCTCTAGAATGAGATTTTATTATAAGAGGGTTTTGTCTATTACAGTACCTTCCTTATTGTGTTGTGCTCATAAAGAATTCCCCTCTAAAATTAGGTTTTATGTTGACTATTGTTTTAGCCAAAAGTGTTTGTTTGAAGCATTCTAGGTCTCTAAACCCAAGGCCCCCGCGATACTTTGCATTACACATATGCCTCCAGCTCACCCAGTGCAATATCTTCTCTTTCTTTTGACCCCATACAAAGTTGGCATGTTTCTGGTTAATTCTCTTACAAAGTTGAATGGGAAGCTTGAAATGATTCATTGCAAAGGAGGGAGCCACCATTGCTACTGATTTAATGAGTAGCTCTACCTGCCCCTATTAGAGATATCCTCTTCCACCCCTTAGCTTCTTATTGATTTTTTTCTTCTACCTTATTAATGAGATCTTTCTTACATCTAACAAATTGCATAGGTAGACCCAAGTAATCTCTGTTACCTCTTGCTTCGCTAATTTGAAGAGTTGCACTTATGATTCTTCTAGGAGTATTTGCACTAAAACTTATCTCTGATTTACCAGTATTTACTTCATGTCCTGCCATCTTGTAGAACTCCTCGATTTAACTTTTGAAGTGAAGAACTTCATCAAGGTTAGCTTGGCCAAAAAGTAGCATGTCATTCGCGAAGAAAAGATGAATAAGTGTTGGGAGGTATCATTTTAGCTTTATACCATGGATTTTCCTTCCCATGGCTGCTTCTTAAATCATTGCTGAAAAAAATCGACCCGCTAGAAGGAAAAGATGGGGAGACAGAGGGTCCCCTTGTCTCACACTCCAGCTTGGTTTGATATTACCTCGAGTGGTTCAGAGCATTTGGGGGTAGGTTCAGGTGAGATGGAGAGCGAAATTGGCAAGGGATAGTGTCGAGGGCTTGATCACCCTCTAGGATCCAACTATGTGTAGGCTAATTTCATACAGGGTGGATTCCTTTTCCATCTCTCTCGTTATGGAATTAGCTAATTGAAGCATCTTTCAAGTGACCAATGTGTAGGGTCCTATTGAAGCAAATCTTAGAATCCTTTTTTTAGATGAACTTAAAAAGCAATGAGAGGTTCTTTTTCTTATCCGTGGGTAATTGGTGGAGAT